AATCTGAAAGTTCCACCCCCTCCTCATCGTCCTCTTATGTCTGACGACGCCCTTGGAAACACCGTCCGACTTAGAATCTGGCAACAAAATCTCAACACCTCTCTCATTGCGCAACTGTCCTTACTCAACTCCCCTACCATCGTCGATTGGGATATTTTGGTAATCCAGGAGCCTCATATTAACTTCCTCCGCAACACCAGTGCCAACCACCACTGGCACGTTCTCTATCCCTCTCAACATCTCATGCACCCCCAACAACGAACAAGAGCCGTCATCCTGATCAGCACCAAACTAGACACGAACAGTTGGACGCAGTTGACCCTCCCATCCTCAGACGTTGTCGCCATCCAACTGTCTGGTGCATTTGGCCGATGTACCCTATTTAATATATATAATGACGGTAATCACGCTAACACGCTAACCACTCTCGACAACTTTCTAGAACTTAATAACACCTCTATTCGCTCCTCAGCCACAGACCATATCCTCTGGATGGGCGACTTCAATCGCCACCACCCCCTATGGGAGGATATACGGAACCGCCACTTATTTAACTACGCTGCTGCTAACCCCCTTATAGACCTTATCGCTGAACATAGCATGGTGCAACTACTCCCCTGCAGCATCCCCACCCTGCAAGCCTCTAGCACGGGCAACTGGACCCGCCCAGATAACGTCTTCGGAACCGAACACCTTCTGGATGCCGTTGTCTCATGTGATACGGCACCCGACCTACGTGGCCCCAAAACTGACCATCTTCCCATCTTACTGACCCTGGATCTCGTTGTCCCACAGACCACACCCGAACTACGCCGTAATTGGCGAGAAGTCGACTGGGATGCCTTCAAAACGCATCTCCAGACCGCCATAACCATCAAACCAGCCATCCCTCTCGCCTCCGACGACGAGTTCCAACAAGCGGCCAGGCACCTCACCAATGCGATCACATCTGCCATGGACGCATGCGTCCCGTTCTCAAAGCCATGCCCCCATTCCAAGAGATGGTGGACTAAACGTCTCACTGACCTTCGGCAGCGCATCAGAGACCTCGACAAGCTAGCTTACCAGATGCGCGCAGTCCCAACCCACGCAGTCCATACTGACTTGAAGCAGACTAAGCAGCTCTATGCTGACGAGATCACGGCAACCAAGAAGCAACATTGGGTAGAATGGCTGGAAGACATTGAAGGTAACGACTTATGGACAGCCAACAGATACATCTCCTCCGCGCCCTCGGACGGAGGAAAAACACGAGTCCCTACCCTACGCACCACCAGACCAGATGGCACAGTGGCCGAAGCGGCCACCAATAGCGCGAAAAGCGCAATCCTAGCTACGTCCTTCTTCCCGCCCCCTCCTGCTAACGACCTTCTTCCCCAGGACACCATCTATCCAGACCCTGTAGCACGCATGCCCACCATCACGATGGATCAAATCAAACGCGCCATCGTCAAACTCAGTGGGTATAAGGCGCCTGGCCCTGACAGGGTCTGTAATATCGTCTTTAAAGAATGCTCTGAAATCCTAGTCCCGTATCTCCTCCACCTGTTCTCGGCCGCATTCTCTCACCAAACGTTCTATCAACCCTGGCGGGAATTCACCACTATCGTCTTGCGGAAACCAGGCAAACCCAACTACGGCATTCCCAAAGCATATCGACCCATTGCATTGCTCAACACCACTGGTAAACTCTTGACAGCGGTAGTAGCAGACCAGCTGACCTACGTGCTCGAACACCACCATCTCCTCCCTAACACGCACTTTGGTGGACGCCCGGGACGGTCCACCACAGACTCGCTCCATCTCCTGGAGGAGACTGTCAAAAATGCGTGGCGCTCGCACAAAGTAGCCTCTGTACTCTTCCTCAACATAGAAGGCGCGTTCCCGAACGCGGTGACCACCCGGTTGATCCATAACATGCGGATGAGACGCATACCTCGTGAGATAGTCCAATTCACTGAACGGTTACTAACGCATCGACAAACTCAGCTCAAATTCGATGGATTCACCTCGGACTGGTTCCCAGTCACTAATGGAATCGGTCAGGGTGACCCATTGTCTATGATCCTCTACATCATATACAGCTCCGGCCTTGTGGACGTCGCGACACCTCGAGGCAATCGTCGAGCACTGAAGGAACTCACACTGGCCTTCGTTGATGATACGGCCTTCATCGCAATAGGTAACACATTCACGGAGACCCACGCTATCCTAGCGGATATGTTAGAACGCCCAGGGGGAGGCTATGATTGGTCCAGAGCTCATAATTCTCGTTTTGAAACTAACAAATTCGCGCTAATGGATTTTTCTATGAACAGACTCAAACCTCGCCCTAATATGCACATCCAAGGGGCCGTTATTCGTCCAGTTCAGACTCACAGATTCCTGGGTGTCATCCTCGACCAGGAACTTCGCTGGAAGGCACAAGTCGACAACGCAATAGCGCGTGGCCTATCTTATGTTATGCAACTACGTCGCCTATCTGCATCGGCCAAAGGCTTACCCATGCGCCTTATGCGTCAACTGTACCTAGCAGTGGCGGTCCCTAAGATGTTATATGCTGCTGACCTTTGGTTTTCCCCAGTATTCCACACAGGTTCTAATACCCTGCAACGCGGTTCCATTGGTGTTGCAAAGCGCCTAACGTCAATTCAGCGCCTGGCAGCCATAGCCATAACCGGAGCTTTGAGGACCACTGCCACAGACACACTTGAAGCTCACGCACATCTCCTCCCCACCACCCTCCTCCTCCAAAACGCATGCTTCCGCTCCATCGTTCGTCTCACGGCTCACCCAAGCTCTCACCCTCTCTTCATCCCAATACGCAAGGCTGCAGGCCGCTATGTAGCATCACATCGCACATCCCTCCACCGCCTCACCCGCCGTTTCGGTCTACACCCTGACACCGTCAAAACATTAATCCCAGCTCGTCGCCCACCATCCACGAGGAACACATGGACCTCTCACATCGCTGCAACCAAAGACGACGCCATCAAGGAATGTGAACAACTTACTGACCTCATCCAGATATACAGCGACGGTTCTGGATTCAAAGGGAGAATTGGGGCGGCGGCAATACTGTTCAGAGTGGGCCAACAACCAAGGACATTGCGGTTTCACTTAGGGTCAGAGGAGGAGCACACAGTATTTGAGGCGGAAGAAGTGGGACTAACACTGGCGGCGCACCTCATAGCCACCGAACCGAACCTTATCTTCCCTACCTCCATCCTCGTCGATAACCAAGCGACAATCCTTGCAGGTGAGAGTTTCTATTCACGCCCCGGCTCCTATCTGGCGGATCACTTTCGCAGAATAATGCAGCGCACAGCGCGAGAACACGATGGATTCAACGTGACCCTTCGTTGGGTACCAGGGCACTCCAACATGCACGGCAACGAAGAGGCAGACAAGCATGCTAAAGCAGCATCAGAAGGACACCACAACGACAGCCCTACGCATCTCCTACCCCGTTACCTCCGCCATCGCACCCTCCCCCTAAGCATCTCCGCCTTGATCAAATCTCAAGTGAAATCCACCGCAGAGAGATGGAAACATCTCTGGAGCACCTCCCCTCGCTTTCGCCATATAAACCGCATAGACCCCCATATCCTTCGTAAATCATTCGTCAAACTGTCTGCCACCTTCTCGAAACGCCTCACCAGCCTCTACCTCTTCCTACGCACAGGACATGCACCGCTCAACAAACACCTGCATCGCATTCAGAAATCAGCCAGCCCATCCTGCCCTCACTGCCCCAACACCGATGAAACGGTCCACCATTATCTCCTCGCATGCCCACACTACCGCAAAGAACGTCACCTTCTCACCGCAGCCCTAGGCCGTGACGCCTCGTCCATCCAGTTCCTCCTATCCACGCCCGAAGCCACCCCTCACCTAGTTACGTATATCAATGCTACTGGTCGAATGAAAGCAGTACTAGGTGTAGTACCTTTGCCCAACGTCCCGACAGATTAATCACTCGTTCTCCTTAGCTATAGTAATCTTCACATCAAGCATACCATCACCGCCATCACTCTCCCCCCTCATCACCACACCTTCCTCAACCACTCGCCCACATGGAGTCTTATGTATCACCCTCTACTCTTGGATCGCACCTCACGGAACTCAAGACATGAGGCCCTCTGCTCAAACCAGGGCCCAAACACTTAGTTATTCCATACATCCAACCAGACTCCTGTACCAATCCGCGCAAGCGGACGAGTACGTGTTTTATATTGCACATCTGCCAGCCTACATACAGCATATATGTACAACATTATCATCTCATCATCACAGGGCGGCGCGCCTAAAACGGCCGGCGGGAACGGCGGACTGGTGGGGGTACGCCTCACACCAGGGCATCCGCGCGCCCAGAGATGCGATAGGGGACACTGGGGGTCCCCTCGACCAGCTAGTATTGTCCTCCTTAGAGTACTTCTCTCCATAGGACATTAAATCTGAATTAAAAAAAAAAAAAAAAAAAGCAACATGCTCAACGCGTCGATGAGTGCAATAGAAGAGAGGAATCTCAACTGTGTTAGCATATGGAATTTTCGGACGCACGGGCCCTGCTCAGCATGCGTGTCATGTCGAGAGTGTGCGGAGCGCCAACCCTGGTAGCCCACACCAGAAAACTCGATTGTATCGTTAGACCTGTGTAAAGCAATCGGCGAGTGTTTTATGTCACTCTGGAAGTCTGGAATTGGTATCAGATCATCGGGTTTCAAAGGATCACGGATAACTATGTATGGCGGAACACACAAGACAGATCCATGCACAGTGGCACAGCAATCGATTGATGATTGGCTATATACATCTTAGTGGACAGCACTTGCTGCGTCACTCACTGAAGCCGCTCGCATCAGGCGAGACTGCCCACGACAACACGCGCAGTGTGGTCCTCAAAGGCTCTGCGACTGCACATCTTTGATTGCCCATATTTGTAAGCCAAAGCGGAGCCGCCTGGATATGAAATGATGGAGGCTGTATAACCGTCTTCATTACGACCTCTCCTTACCGCCGCTCAGACTTCTGAAAAATTCGGCATATGCATGTTCGACATCAAATGAAAGCTATGAAAATATCAGTGCGAAGCGCGTCAGCAAATGTTTGTAAACTTACCTGCCGGGACTGTTCATCTGTTATCTCTTCGGATGCCTTCATGCTGTTCAAGGTAATGAGCCTAATAATGTGAGCCTGAGACATCGAAAGCAGGCGGGAAACAGAATAACACGCACCAGCTGACCATTTTGCTCCGTCCCTCCCAATCCTTGCTTCCCTTAAACCTAGCATACCCTGTGACAAGTTCTTGCAAGATCGGGTGGAGTTGATCCTTAGCGCGTAGCCTAAGCTTCAACGCATCCATGAATGTGATAAAATTCTGTGTTACTGGTTAGAAAAAGAGATATTCCAACACAAAACACCAACCTGCGTCGTCTCAGCGATCCACTTTCCAGTCTCAGGTCCCGCCTCGCTAGAATGTTCAACAGTCGCAGGTACGCCGACTCGTATGCGATGTAACGCCGCAGGGTTATCCATCCGATACCGTGTCATGAACTGCTCGATGGAAGGAACGGAATCCTTGACAAGCTTGAGCATGGTCATGTACTGCGAGAGAAGTCGCGTGCATGCAGGAGAGTATCTCTTGCAGCGCATGTATTCCTAAGTCTGACATGAAGTGAATTTAAGATGGGAACATACTGTGCTGCGGTAATTGCATCACGAACATAGGCGCGCTCGAGGTAGTCGAGTGCGACAATGATCCCGTACAAGGTACCAAGGAGATTGTACTTCTCTCGTTCAGCATTGTTCGTAAATAGTCGAACTTCTTCGTCCAGCGAAAGGGTGGCCATTTTCATCTTCTCCTGAACTGAACGGTGATCTTGGCAGCGTCCGCCGCCGTCGACTGGATCAATTGTTTGTCATTGTTTGTGAGGCGTGAGTGGCCCGCCCCGCCACTCACTCAACTTGGTATACGAACAAGAACCCTATGATCATCCCTAGAGACTTGCAGCTTGAGCTTGAAATTCTGGACCTGAGTGTAGGAGCGCAGGTTTACATCATACAAGGGGTTTGTTCAGATAGAAGCGCACAAAGATGGTGCGTTCAAATTTCCAAATTATCGGTTTAACTTAACTTAATGATTGCCACAATGCCACCAGGAGATGATCGATTTCATGAGCCAGTTAAATTGCACAAAGGTACATTGAAGCTCTGTGTGGAGCATGCTGAACTCTTTTTCCATTATTCCTAGTTTCTTGGTTACATTGTTGGGGCACCATATAAAATCCTGCAGGTTCGACCAATGCTGGTCAGTTGCCATCCCCTACCTCATCTTCTCATTTCGTGACATACATTGTCCAAATCAACTTGAACTGAAACAGATCTTCATCATACGGAATTTCATAGGTTTGGTCTTTCTTCCTCGAGGTCTACGACACGCTCGACTTGAGTCAGATTGCAGCAAACGATGCCGAAATACAAGAAATCCCAAAGCCTCCTGCGCGATAGCTTCAACTTCCCGACTTTCAGCGACCTTCCGGAAAACCCTGCGAATGGAGTTAACCTCGAATACTACGATGGTTGCCTGGACAAATTCGAACCCAAAAAGCACTGGTGCTTTCTCGGCGAGATTGTCGATTCCGTCGGACTCGAACGAGTTACGTTACGCGTAAAGGATAAGGACGGTCTGATCGGCACCATCAGGCTGTACACAGACGACGGCGGAAAAGCGCTTGATCCGCAGATCGAAAAAGGACACACAGTTGCTGTACTGTATGGCGAGCAACACTGCTTCACGGACATGACCGTCGGCATACGTGTCGAAGACGCCTCCAACATCAAAATCATACCATGCTCACTCGAGCAACTCCTGAAGGCCAGCGATGATGTGGCTGTACTGCGCGAAGGCCAACCAACACACTGTGGATCTTGTGGCAAGGCTGACTGCAAGGCACTTGTTGGGGTACAGTGGTTCACGACAAAGACATGGGGAAAGTGTCGCGAATGTTTTAGCTTCTGATGCCTCACCCTGATAAATTACTGGCTTTCCGAGTTATCCTATAAATATCCCAGTCTCATTTTATTGTGTCGTACTGCCCCAGTCCAGGATTGATCAATCATTAAATTTTTTGCGAGGCATGAACGTACATGAACGATACGCAACCAACAGTGCTATTATGGAAGACGCAGGAGAGTATCTCTTGCGGCGTATATAATATATTCCTTAAGTACGAGACACGGACTCAATTGTGTTTTGGGCGAGCGGAAGATGCCGTAGCGTCTCTTGTTTCCGCTCTCCTAACACGCTCCTCAATTTATGATGTAAACGCACCCCAAGCTCTTCTTTTTTCACCACCCTTTGCGCTATCGCGTGCTTCAAGCTATCCACTGACAGCATACGATAGTGTACCTCACATTGTGCAAAATTACTCTCATGGACGCTGAACGTTGAACGCTGAACCCCGACCAGCACAATCTCCGGAGCTCCCAGATACACACATGCGAAACTGGCTGTGTACCCTCGTACCACACCCTTTCTTGGGCAGATCATCGATTTGGGTAGGAAGCGCTTTGCATGTTCACTGAACTTTCCAGTCATCTTGCTCCGTGTTTGCTCCGCAAATATCTCAGTTGAATATATTTATTTCTAAAATAATCCTTCCTCAATCGCACGTCAGTGATGCCTCAAAGAAAGCTTCACGAGTCAATCATATCTCGTTGACTGTAAAGCTTGGGCATCAACGGTAACCTGCCCCTCTACATGATCACATTAAACACACCTGAGAAAATTAATTGTGCTGCGGATAATCACACTGACATACTAGACTCGTGGCCAGTGCATCCAGGAGGCCAGGAGCCTAAACCCACACTGGGAACCAGATACGCCGCCAATTAACACGCGGCCAACACGCCTTGCGACAGAGACCGGATCTACTTTCTCCTTGCTCCATTTGTCCTCGACCCTTCGCATTGTTATGCTTCCCTTCCGCACGATCTCTCCCTCCATCATTTTCCGACAAACTTGTCTCCAGAGTGTCCGTTCAAGTCGCCTCTTGTCTTCTCCGAGTTGTCATCTTGTCCAACTCAGATTGAAGTTGAAGCAGCTTCAAACATACAGAATACCGTACGTTTGTTTGTTCTTCCTCGAGGTCTATTCGGTCAAGCTCAACTTGATTCAGTTCACTGCATCGGACCGTGACGATGCCAGAATCCAACAGTTCTAAAAGCCTCCTGCGCAATAGTGTCAACTTCCCATCATTCAGCGACCTTCCGGACGAGAATGACGTTGATCTCACCTACTACGACGAGGGCCCACGTGGATTTGAACCCAGCCAACACTGGTGCTTCCTCGGCGAGATCGTCGACTCCTACGGTCTCGGTCGAATCTTATTACGCGTAAAGGATAAGGATGATCAGGTCGTCACCATCGGGCTGTATACAGACGACCGCGGACACGCGCTCGCTCCGCAAATCAAGCAAGGTCACACAGTTGCTGTACTGTACGGCGAACAACATGGCTTCTTAGACATGTCCGTCGGCATACGCGTCGAAGAACCCTCCATTATCAAAATCATACCATGCTCGCTTGAGCAGCTGCTGAAGGCTAGCGATGATGTGGCCGCACGTAAGTTGAACGGCCAATCAAGGTGCTGTGGGTCTTGTGGTAAAAAGGAGAATGCCTCTGACAACACGCACTTGCGCTGGTGCTCCCGCTGCAAACAAACGTCATACTGTGGAGAGGTAAGCCTTGGCCGTAATGTGTTCCAATTCAAGTCGTGTCTGACTTCACCTTATTCTCAGGTTTGCCAGAGGAAAGCTTGGGTGGACGGACACAAGACTGACTGCAAAGCATTCGTTTGGGTACAGTGGTTCGCGGCAAGAAACTGGGGAGTGTTCAATGGATATTTCAATTTCTGATACTTTTGCGCTGATCAATTTTGGCTTCGCAAATTATGCCTACCAGTCTCATTGTATCATTCTAATGTCAGCTTGGAAATGTTATTTCTCGAAATATGTAACCACCCAGTACTATCAGAAGTATGTGCTACTGTGATCCACTACTACTTGGAGGGAAGGAGTGAGGATAACGTATTCCGCTCGCTACTCATCTGTTATCGTCACTCGACCGCCGATAGTCAGGGTCTCCAGAGAACACTTTGACCGTGCCAACAATGCCTTCATATCTTCACGAGGCCAAGATACACTGCGGTCACTGTGGCGTGCTTCAAGCGCGTGCAAATTGGGGAGCGATAGAGCATTGAGCAGGTCAGATAGAGGGCGCGTGAGCAAAGCGTCATGATGGATTGTAATTTGATATGCGTGAATGATTCCAAGGGTTCTTTTTAGTCGAATGCTACGCGGGGAGTTAAGGAGGATTCGGACATAGCTGGAGTAAATGGAGGACAGGGTTAGGGTGATCTGCACATCCTTCAAGTAGGCCCGTACAGGGCTGAAAGAAGACAATGGCTCGATGTCGAAAAACAGCCTCATGTCAATGTTTGTTACAAAAAGCTGAGTGAGTTCGCCCTGAAAGGAGTGAACAGAGACTCGGAGAGATGTAATGAGTGAACATAGGCATGCTCAGGTAGTCAAGCGCGACAATGATCCCGTACAAGGTACCAAGGAGACTTCTCTCGTTGAGTATTAATGGTTCGTGAATAGTTGAACTTCTTCGTCCAGCGACTTAAGGGTGGCCATCTTCAAGAGAAGATCTTCTCCTGAACTGAACGGTCCTTGGACTCTTGGCAGCGAGTGATTGATCGAATGTCGAAGTCTAGATTCAAGTCAAAGTACTGTTAATCGTTATTTTGTGAGGCGTGCGGGCAACTCGGGCCGCCTCGCTCTTCGTGTGTGACACGTCAATGACACGTGACGAACTTAGTGTCGTAACTCTACAGTACCCTTTCTGTAGCTAGCTCATATTGGGGTTAGGGTTATATCTGTAATCGTCGATCTCGATTTGGCAATTGAGGAGCGCTAAGTGAACCGCACCATAATTCAAGTGCCTTCTTATCAGTGACTTTTCGGTTCCTTTTCTGGAAATATCCGGCGGCAAGTGACAAAAAGGGAAGTTAAGAAATCACCTTGCTTGCAAGGTCATATGCCAATATGTCCTTCCAAAATACCGTTTCAAGTGCGCTCGTTCCCCTCGTCTTTCCAATTAAAAACGAAAGCAAGGTCATCGCCGGCGACGGCGCCTAGTATGTGAATTTCAAGATGCTATCTATGTGTTTGCGCACGGGCCTGGCCTGGTGCTATGGAGTGTCAAACAGAAATCACATGCGGCTTACAAAGCCCTAGATCAACATGGTGTGCTCGCATACACATTGATCGTCCAACTGGAGCGCAGCTCGTCTTTACCAACCTGAAACGGGTGTCCAGATGTTGGAGCGCAGCTCGTCTTTACTAACCCGAAACGGGTGTCCAGATGTTGGAGCGCAGCTCATCTTCACTAACAAGGAAGTGTGGGAGAAATAGGTTGACGCCTAGCGTGATACTTCCACACAGCTTCCATCAATATTGTCCCGATGTTGAGGACATAGATTATGAGACAGAACGCCGTGACGGCGCGGGAGGCCGTGCTGTGAGACGAAAGGCCTGCTGTCATCATCGCTGTGGGCGAAATCCATGAGGGATCAGGAACAGCACTAAATGACGGAGCAACACACCAGATACGAGACAATTCAGGGAACAGACAACGAAGAATATAGGCACGATTATCGACAATAGGTGGAACACGACCAAGAATCTGCCTTGCTTGAGTTGCTGACCACATTTATGTCAGCGGTGTAATCCGAGTGGCGAGAATAAATCTTACTTTTTGGATCCACCGTCGATCAGTATGTAACCAGCGCACCATACTTGAGCCGGATGTCAATATCGCGATTATAGCGAGCATGAGGGACATAAAAAGTAGACAATAGGGAGTAGGTGTTGAGTAATTCAGGTACGGCACAGGAGACGCCGTACTGACGAAGGCAACGCTTATCGCGAGGAGGACACTTGCCTTTGTGGGAGTATGTCAGTGTCGGCTTCAGTGCGCGACGCGCGCGAAATTGAATAAGTCACCGTGGTGATAGTGCTACCCAGGATAGAGCACAACTTCCTCCTAAGGGCTTCAAAGGCTCGATCTGATTGAAGGGAGTTCCAATGATCATGAAGATCTGAGCATCCAAACGCCAAAAAAATGAGTACGTTCATTACAAGAGACGTGAACTCTGGAGGGGGAAGTTCACGCCGGGGGGGCAGTACTTTGACAGGACCTTCGTCCTTGATAGCCTGAGGGGCCCGGGGACCCATGATGGGGAGAGTCGAGACAGACTAGTAATGCTCACGGCGATTGATATACTATTGGATGATGCTGTGAGATTTAGTAAACATTCCTGGTGAGATTCTGATTCAGTGGTGTCGCGTTCATCGCGAGGCTACAATTAACAGCGGTGTCCACGCGTATGCAGCCAGCCAGGGACAAAAAAAGTGTCCTAACTAACATGTACCATCCACGATGTATGATTGTAGTACAGCAAACGGCGGATGAGCCAATGGGCACGCTGCCACGCGTATACAGCCAGCCAGAGATAAATATAAAAAGAATCCAAACTAACGTTAACAGTACTACTATCCACGATTTCTGATTGTAGTGCAGCCAGCCGTATACAGCAAACAGCGGATGAATCAGTGGGCATGAGGCTGCCACGCGTATGCAGCCAGCCAGAGATAAAAGTCCGTATCACATCAATGTGTACTACATGGTAGGGCTGTACTTGGCTTGCTGTGGCTACGGTAGTAATTCGTGGGATAGTATTACTAGCATCAGTTCGGACAGTCCCTGGCTGCATGCGCGCGGGACGCTAATAACAGCATCGCAATAAACGTGGCCACCGCGATTTCATCATGAGCATTTGCTACACCTCCTTTATAATAGGGCACGAGCGCATCTTAATATGCATATTCGCACCTCTGTTAATTCATGGCTGATTTCCATTCCACTGAGGTACGCTTTCAAAACTTGGGAATCTTTGTCGTATGGTTCACTCACACCGACCTTTCCAGCTTGGCAAAAAAGCATCTGCCAAAGAACAACCTCTCCCCGAAGCCCTTCGTTCCACGTCCCTTGTAATGAGGGTACTCTGTTTTTTGGCACTTGGATGCCCCAATTTTGATGATCATTGGAAGTCGCTGCAGTCAGAGCAAGCCTTCGAAACCGTTAGGACCAGATTGTGCGATATCCTGGGCAGCACTATCACCATGGTAAGCTGGCCAACTCCGTGCGCGTCGCGAACTGAAGCCGACGCTGACATGCTCTCACAAAGGCGAGTATCCTCGCTATCAGTGGTGTTTTCGTCAGTACGGCCTCTCCTGTGTCATACTTCGGCTATACATCATCCATTCCCTATTATTCAATCTTTATCTCACTTATGTTTGCCATATTCGCCATGTTGACATCTGGCTCGAGCATGATACGTTGGCTACACACCGATCGGCACTGGACTCAAGAAGTAAGTTTTACTAGCATTTTCGTCATGCTGATCGCTGACCTGAATACGATTAGCAACTCAAACAAGGCGGCTACTTTGTCTGGTCCTACCTGTTGTCAATAGTCACGCCTATGTTCTTCGTTGTTTGGTCCCTGAATTGTTTCGTTTTCGGTGTGTTGCTCCGACATCTGGTGCTTTTCCTGGTCCCTCATGGATTTCACCTCCAGCGATATTGATAGCAGGCTTTTCATCTCAAAGTGTGATATGTCGCGCCCTCACTGCGCTCGGGCTGGTGACATACGTCGTCAACGTTGGGAAAATATTGATTGAAGCTATGCGGAATTATGCGACAAGTCTCGAGCACGCTGGATGTCCCCAGTAATCTACAGTTTCCATGATTTCAGTCAGGAAGAAAAAACCCTTAGACTGTCTATTTTCCAGATGTTCTTATGCTTTCCAGGTTATTACTATCCCGCACGGCAGGGCCGTCACGACCAGAGTATCCACTAATTAATATAACTCAAGCTCAATCAATGCTTCTAACATGTAACGTTCATTGAGAGGTTGAGCGACTGATTTTCATGAAGCAGTTCCTTGAAAGCAGACAAAGTCACGCTGGTGATTCTACTGTCAGTTTGGAGACGCCATTTCTCAAAATATGCAACCACCCAGTATTATCAAAAGTATGTACTACTGTGATCCACTATTACTTGGAGGGAATCTATTATCGTCACCCGACCGTCGATAGTCAGGGTTTCCAGGGAACACTTCAACCGTACCAACAATGCCTTCATATCTTCATGAGGCCAAGATGCATTGCGACCATTGCGGCGAGCTTCAAGCATACGCAAATTGGGGAGCGATAGAGCGTTGAGCAGGTCAGATAGAGGGCGCGTGAGCAAAGCGTCGTGAAGGATTGTAATTTTGTGTCCGTGAATGATTCCAAGGGTTCTTTCTGGTCGAATGCTATGCGGAGAGTTAAGGAGGAGAGGTTCGGACATGGCTGGAGTAAATGGAGGACAGCGTTCGGATGACATACGGTGATCTGGACATCAGTCAAGTGGGCCCATACAGGGCTCGATGTCAAAAAACGGCCTCATGTCAATGTTGTCTGCCGAGATCATGCTGATGAAGGAAGAGAAAGAAACTGGGACGACCTGCAGCAAGGTGATCTGAGAGGGCAGGTAGTCTATTTTAGTGGGACGAACACAGTATGTGAATGAAGAAATGACCATGATGAATGGCACAGAATGACACTCACAATCTGACCTCAGTCTGGAAAATGCCAAAAATCAATAATGAAATCGAAAACGGTGCACCGGTCCTCGTATTCTTCACGACGAACACCTACGAGTACAAAGGCAAGGCGCACAACAGGAAGTTGCGCAAGAGCGCATCGATGAACGCTAAAGTGATTGTTCTGTTGGAAAATTTGCCAAACAGTACGAGTAAGCAGAAAGACGAAAAGACACGACCTATTACATACATAGGGTCCGAGTCTATGACCCCAACGGACCAACTCTGAAGCAAAAAAAAGCCAAACAACTATCAGCACGGTGCGAAGTTGCCCGCCACCAAGTACATGAGCAATGATGAAGGAAGATAAAGAAGCTGAGACGAGCCGCAGCAAGAAGTACTACACTGAAGTACATGTCACCAAAAAAAGTAGGACTTATACGTCATTCTTGAAGACAAGACAGTCGAATCAAATAAAATCATGTGCAAACGAACGCACAACAGGCATATCCATGTCTGAAGACCCAAGCATGTTGGGACGTAATCATGACCCAGGCTCAGATTAGTGAGCATGCATTTCCCAATGCTCTGAATACTGCGGCGGAAGTTCAACTACACCATTCTCGTCTGGCATAACATCATTAGCGTCGGTATGAACGATGATTTGAGTAGGAGGTTGGTAGGTTGTTTGCGCGTTAGCTGATGACATAGACTGACTTCCAGATGACACGTGCACATCTAAGATGTCTGTACTGGGGCGCTGACGGGAATTTTGTGCCTGGTTAAAGGGTGCGGGAGGGTTATTAACTGCGACGTTGCCGGCAGAGGTAGAGGTGGATTGAGATCCGACTTGAACGGGTGGAGCAAGGTAGACAGGGTCTGTCTTCCGTGGTAATGGTGATGCTGGTCGAGCCCCCGCAGCCATATACTTGGCGGGTGTCGTACCTGACATCTGAGCGTCTCCATAGACAGCAAGTTCTGTGTTAGGGCTCATGTGCGAAGGCTGTGTCTGAGTGAGCGGTGTACGAGGATCGTTGGGTGTGAAGTTTCTGGTGGGCGGGGGTGATTGGCGGTTGTTAGCGAATGACACAGTCAAACTTCGAGTACCCCCGTGGGCGGAAGAGTCTGTGTTGGAGCTCTGGGGCGAATGTTGTATCTGGTTGAATGATGAGGGAAGGGCGCTAACTGCGAAGGTGCGGGTGGACGAATTGGTCATCTCTGACTGAGTTCCTAGGGTGGAATTAATGGGTCGGGTACGGTTGCTGGGAGTGTTTGTCTTATATAGGGAAGGGGATTGTGGTGGGTGAGGGCTGGATTTGTAATTTGGATCTGTATGCCGCTGTAGTTGACGTGGATGGCTTTTTGTAGAAGACCGAACATCTGGTAAACGAGATGCCTTCCATTTAAGCCGCAAGTATATGCTGAGGATGACCAACGCAACAAGGACGACCCCACCGCCACCCGCTGCGCCTGCAATGATAGCAACATGGTTACTTGAAGAACTACTTGATGGACTGCTTGATGGACTGCTCGATGAACTAGTTGAACTAGATGATGGTGAAGCCGTGGCTGTGTCCGTGGCTGTGATTGTGACCGCCGGCGTGCTTGGTGCGGATAACGGCGAGTTGACGCTTAGGTACGAGGAATCTGAGACCACTGGCGAGACCGGGACCCCTGTGTCCGCCGGGACCGGGCCACCTTGGCCGGTCTGGATCACCGACGCATAACCATCGTTGGTCGAGGAGCCGATGACAGGATACAGGACGTTCGTCCCTGCCCTAACATCTAAAATCGAGTTAAAAGTTCTGAGAGGTCCACATTGAGTGGGAGTCGCGACTGTCATCTTGAAAGCACAAGCAACAGAGAGACAAGAAGTGATGCATGCAAAGAAGCGAAGGAGGTGCATACTCGAAAGAGGAAGATGGTAAGGAGATACGCAGGTGTAGTCAAGTAATATCTTGAAAATCGCGACAGACTTGAGGTGAGGGGAAATTGAGTACTAGATAACACTGACTGGCGAGAATCGATGACTATATAGCACAATCAATTACATACAGTCATTCATTATGGTTATATATGAACTGAATACCATAATGAATGTGGCTGGGTAGTCGATGGTCAAATATCATGATCGTGATTTTGATTGACGCGCCGTACCGAATTCTTGGGTCTCACATTCTGTGCATCCCGATGTCATGTCAGCCCTAGCCAAGAGTGGCCTTGGGTGAATGGACGAAAGATTTGACAGTGGTGTCACCTGTGCCGCAACTTGAACGCTGGGGGGAGCGAAGATCTTGCGGATACAAGCACCCACTTCAAATGGTCTATTTTGAGCCCAAGTGACGTGTTGCCCGCCAACTTACTGTCTGCACAGGTAGCCATCGGGAAGGCAGTGTTAATGTGGGGCAAGAAGCGGTGCGGTGTGCACTGCAATAACTTGAAGCTTAAGATAGTAAAGCTCTATGTCGAAAATCTCCCACCTGCGTTAACTTTGGGGTCCAGGGTGTTTTCGTTAAAAGCCTGTCGGCAGCTATAGAGAGTTCCCGTCTTGGCTCGGCGAGACATCATCTCAGCGGCGATTCCCGTTGCTGACAGATTTCGAGGTAATGATTAAGAAATCGAAATCATCTCTATTTGACTGCCGAATACATCTGATTTCGTACAATAGTTGCCATACGATTGTGTAGTTATTTCGGCTCAAAACCCGGAACATTGTTTCGAACCTGCGGAGAAAACCCAGGATGAGCCGTGCGCGTGAGGGCGGGTGGGTCTCAGCAGCTCAAAGTGATAGTGCGATGCAAAAAGGGTGGGAAACTCGAAATGCTGTGTCGCCGCGTCACGACTTAATATAGGCTACTGGTCTTTAGTATGAGCATCAATTCCTCCTGATTCTATGGATTTCACCGATACGGTACGCTTTCACAACTTAGTAATCTTTGTCGTATGACTCACTCACACCAACCTTTCTAGTCACTTGTCGCTGTTGACAACAAAGTATCCGCCGAAGAACAACCTCTCCCCGAAGCCCTTCGTTCCATGTCCCTTGTAATGAGGGTACTCTGTTTTTTGGCACTTGGATGCCCCAATCTTCATGATCATTGGAAATCGCTTGAATCAGATCGAGCCTTCGAAACCGTTAGGACCAGAATGTGTCATATTCTGGGCAACACTATCACCACGGTAAGTTCTCCAACTCCCCGCGCGTCGCGAACTGAAGCCAACGCTGACATGCTTTCACAAAGGCAAGCCTCCTCGCTATAAGTAGTGTTTTCGTCATTATAGTCTTTCCTGCGTCATACTTCGGCTATACACCATCCGTTCCCTATTATCTACTCTTTACATCACTCATGTTTGCCATGTTTGCCATGTTGATATCTGGCTCGAGCATGATACGTTGGCTACACACCGATCGGCACTGGACTCAAGAAGTAGGTTATACTAGTATTCTCGTCATGCTGATTACACCGGCTGATCTGAATATAATCAGCAACTCAAACAAGGCGGCTACCTCGTCTGGTCCTACCTGTTGTCGATAGTCGCGCCTATGTTCTTCATTTTCTGGTCCCTGAATTGTTTCATTTTTGGTGTGTTGCTCTGTCATTTGGTGCTTTTCCTGATCCCTCATGGATTTCACCCTAGCGATGTCGATCGCAGGCTTTTCGTCTCAAAGTGAAATATGCCGAGCCGTCACTGCGCTTGGGCTGGTTGCATACGTTGTCAACGTTGGGAAAATATCGATAGAAGCTATGTACAGGTATAGGTCAGGCCTTGAGCACGCCGAATGTCGCCAGTGATGTACAGTTTCCATGTCTTAATCAGGAAGAATATACTGCCAATCTGTCCATTTCCCAGACGTTCTCATGCTTACCCCTCACAGATGAATCGTCACGACCTAAGTATCTCATTCAATTCTTACTGGCGCACATAACTTACAACCTCGATCAATGTTTCTAACATGTACCGTTCATTGCGAGGTCGAAGTTCTTTGACAGCAGTCAAAGTTACGCCGGTCAGCTTATTTCTCAAATCATGTAACCACCCAGTACTATCAGAAGTATGTACTACTGTGATCCACTACTACTTGGAGGGAAGGAGTGAGGATAACATATTCCGCTCGCTGCGCATCTGTTATCGTCACTCGACCGCCGATAGTCAAGGTCTCCAGGGAACACTTTGACCTTGCCAACAATGCCTTCATATCTTCATGAGGCCAAGATGCATTGCGGCCATTGCGGCGAGCTTCAAGCGTGCGCAAATTGGGAAGCGATAGAGCGTTGAGCAGGTCAGATAGAGGGCGCGTGAGCAAAGCGTCGTAAAGGATGCGTAAGGATTGTAATTTAGTGTGCGTGAATGATTCCAAGGATTCTGTTTGGTCGAATGCTATGCGGAGAGTTAAGGAGGAGAGGTTCGGACATAGCTGGAGTAAATGGAGGACAGCGTTCGGGTGACACACGGCGATCTGAACATCCGTCAAGTAGGCCCATACAGGGCTGAAAGAAGACAAGGGCTCGATGTCGAAAAATGGCCTCATGTCAATGAACTTGAGACTGCGTATGGTGGACGGCAGTCGCGAGATGGATTGTGCAATAGTTGGAATATCATATTTTGTCATTCCTAGTATGGCCAACTCCTGAAGTGCCGGGAGATCTGTCAAAAAAAGTTGAGTGGATTCGCCCTGGAAGGAGTGCACAGAGACGCGGAGAGATGTGATATGAGTGATGTAAGGCTGAAGAAGGCTTCGTAGTTTGGTCGAGTGGTAGCGCCCGAGTGCTAACGAGAGCGGACGTCCTCGCGAACGCTTGAGCCACGTATCATAGCAGAAAGCTGCTTGCTCCCAGTCTCTGTCGTCGGCTTCTACATACAGCCTGCACCATAATTCGGGCGTACCCACCGCAACCTCCCTCCATCGCCGGCATATTCTTGTTAACAGCATGGAGGCTTTGAGGGTTGACGGGGATAACAACAATCTAGTTTCGGGGAGACAGAATTTAAATATATGGGATAGGACTTCCGTGGGCAAGCGCCAGAGAGCCGATACGAGTCCCTTGTGCAGATTCATCGACACCGTAATCTTGTCCTTCTTTTCGACGACTTGGTGATGAAGATTTTTGACGCTATCCATCACGGCCTCCAGGCCCGAGATCTCATATAGGATTGCATCCAACTGCTGCTGGTGTTCGGCGATGATGTTGATAATGGTCTGGCCTTCGAGCCCGACGGTAGAGCGATCGGTATTGAGGATTCTGGAGTATGGAGTTTCAAGGACTGGAATCTAGTAGTCATCGTCAGTAACTCGATATACATGTCGGAATAAACCAGGAAATAGACATACGATCACTTGCGATCGTGCGATCTGGAATGAGCGATTGTTATTCTCGGCTGACAAGAATTCTGATTCAAGAAATTGGAGACTTACGATACTTTGTAGTGCTCTGATGATATCTGAAACAGACTCGGAGATGTTGAATTTTGAGTAGGCTGTCTGCATGTTGTTGGCTAAGGCGAGAAGTAAAGTTGAAGCGTCAGAGGAAGTTTGCGATGATCCATCGATGAGCTTTCAGCTGCTTTAAGGCCATAATTCCCGGACCAGTGATATATCATGGATATCTGCATCGATGATCATCGGATGGGAACTACTAAAAATACCATACCATATCATACCAATTCAAATTACAAAGTTTACAGGTGCGGCAACTCCCAGTGGTAGCATTTGACACCAAAGTTCGAACAATGACAAAAAAGGGCCAGATGGGGCTGGATTTGGTCGATGGCTTCGATGGCACTGGCAATGGTCTGGTTTGAGAGGGTATCCATGACCACCAAGTGTCCACTGTGCCTTCATATGTTAGCGCTTTAGCTTCCCGGGTGGAGATAAGTCGCGCGGAGAAGTTATCTGGCAGCAGCCAACGTGATCAGACGGGGTTCGTGACGAATGGTGAGGCTGCATGCATGCAGCGAAGGCACTAATTAATATCGCTGGCACTAAACCTACATCTTCTACAAAATCTGTTAATGGGTCCGATGACTCTTATTTTCCGGTCTTTTAACAAGCAGTCAGGTTTGTCAGACAATGAATAGAGAACAATGAGATTGAATTTATGCAAGACTGAGGGAGACTTCATAGCTGGGTTGAGTTTCGAACAAAAAAGCAACAGGTGGGTGCCAACGAGAGCAGACGTCCTTGTGTTCTCTTGAGCCATACGTCAAAGCAGAAAGCAAGTTCCCGCTGTCTTCTGAGGTCGAATGGCCGCTTCCTGACTGGAGTTTTATCCTACACTTTCGTTCCCTGTCTCCCGGAAGAAAAAGATTTATCGCCCCCTCGAAGCTGGCCTCTATCTTGTTGAAACTTGACCAGGATATGTTGACGATGGAGGAAGGTTGTCATGGGCACGCCTAGTTTGTGCTGCAGGTCAAATGGGCCAGAGATACGATATGACTGGCCTGTGCAAGGTGATGGACAGGATGACGTTTTGCTCCTGTTCGGTCAGTTATCGGTGAAGATTATTGATTTCGTCGATGACTGTTTCCAGACTTGAGATGTCATGCAAAATTGCATCTAGCTGCTGTTGGCGGTCGGTGACAATGGCACTAATGCCCTGGTCATTGGGCTCGATTACGCAGTGGTTGGGAGAAACCGGGGTGCATGGAGTTTCGACACCTGGAATCTGACAATTGGTCAATATCACATCAGATAAATCTAGATAGACAAACCATTGCTCAATTGTAACAATGATCTGCAGTGCACTGATGATATCCAAGGCCGGGGAGAGATAAGTTACGTCCTCTTTCGAGTTGACTTCTGCACGTCGTTAGTACTGGCGCGGGACTAAAGTTGATGAAGACTTGAACTCGAGGCTCAATCGAGGTTGGTGGACAATACAGGAAACTCGTTGTTTGGGTTACATTAGAGATGCAGCAAAACGGACGGTAAGACAGGGTAAGACCCACTCCCTAGAATTTAAACTCCGTGCTTCGCCTAAATTTTTCGAGATCGACTACTAGTTTGACTGGTCACTTGCCTCATTCTCAATTGAAATACGTACGTCGCAGACTGGTCATGAGTCTATGCAAGGTCGACTTGTCCTCAGATTGTCGGTAAATACAGGGGCTGAGTCAACAATTCCGAGTCATCGTTTAATGCATGCAGTAATGTCGTACTGATTCCAATGCCAACACAAGTACAGCAACGCTATAGAACGATCAAAACCGATTGGTGAGATCCCTCTGCCAGTCAAGTGCTCGAGCTGATACACACCTCCAGCACAATATAATTACAGTCAAAAGAGGCGTGCGTTTAACACGGCCGAAGCTGATCAAAAGAGGTTAATTAAGCGTTTCTTGTGCAAACATAGATCCTTCCGAGTCTAAGACGATTCAATTCGTCCGTTAGTCATCCGGTGCAGGCTGTGAGCAACGCCTCTCTAGAAATCAATATTTCAATCTATGGGACTCTAAAAATCAATCCAATAGGTCTGTCAGCAAGTATACCTCAGTCTATTGGACTCAGATGTTCGACTCTCGCTGTCTGCTGTCTAGGTACCTGATATACTGGTCGTGCCCACTAGCGCTCACTAATCAGTTCACCGGTGATTCAGAGACTCAGATATCAGTCGATATTTTGTAAGCCCAATGCTTCTTTCCGACGATACAACGTAATATATAACAGCACAAAGCAGCCTAATCACGCCAATTCATGCTGGTCTCACCGGTTTACTGATGTGCCGGAGTCCAAAAAATATCGGCCAAGCCTAGCCTGCTGTCCCAAATATTTACGCCCCGATTGTGCCGGGTTCCTTCAGATATAAGAAGGTGCATGACATGTGTGCGGGGATCCCGTTTCTTCACTGCTTACTATCGAACAAATTCAGATGGAGTACTCGGCAGTCGATATCTCAGCGGCCACGAGTCTGCAACGATTAGCGGTGCGTCGCTTTCTCAATAACATGAGAGCAAGTTAACATACATATTCCACCAGTACCTATACGGTACGTATTGTCTGAACGGCTTCTTCCTCGTTCTAACTTGAAAGCTTAGTGTCGATGACGACGTTCTGGGTAAGCTGATCCTGATCTTTTTCCGTCCGCCGTTAAACTTGTTTATGCAGACCTATGATTATGCATGTGCACTTCACGAAGAAGTAATCATTCGTTCTGTGACAATCTCAGTGTGGATACTAACAATACGTCGTTCAAAGTGGGAATTTCTGCGTCGGTCGCGCTGGACCAAAGTAAAAGCCCTTTATATCATGACACGACATCTCCCCTTTTTTCTGATCATCATGTACCTATGTCGTGCGTCGATGAACTCCGGCACGATCTTCCTGACAACAATTGACGTATTGTATTTCAGTGAACTTCGCCCCGATCGAAGACCCCAATGTATGTGGATATACAGTGGACTTACACTGATACTTACTGCACGAGTTCGCCAGAAATGCCGGATATTGATCAATGTCTACTCATGTACGTACACAGTACATGCTCCAGGGTCCCTGTCGAGTGCTGCTCTTCCTCTCACAGCTCTCAGTCAGATATCAGCCATTTGCTCTGAATGTATTTGCTTCTTCTGACATAACATATGTGCATTCCTCATCCGTTTCATCGAGGTTTTTTCATGATTAGGACATATGCGCTCTGGAACAACAATAAGATCGTACTCGTAGGCCTGCTGTCCACTGCTTTTGTGAGTCCCATTCCTTCAACGCATCCAATCTCATGGTTGCTGAATCAGCCAGGCTATGATCGTGACATCCGTCAGCATTCGTTTTGCCACCATTGCCACCTCACATGGTTTGTGACCTCACCTTCTCCTGCTACCACTCGCACATATTCACTCGCCCACTTTCACAGTTACGACTAGCGCGATCCCGGGCACTCCTAGCTGCCCCTCGAGTTCAAGCAGTGTTCTGTACTTCATGTCGTTTATTTTCTTATTTGTGTTTCAACTGGGTATGTTGCTAGGACTAGGAGGATAGATTGCAAACACGTGCTCACTGACACTCGCCCCAGTATTGATCACACTCACACTCACACGTGCCATACAGAGCTGGCGATCGACAAAGGGCCCTCTGCAAGCCATCTTGGTGAAGCATAACATATTCTACTATGTATGCGGTCTCTGTGAGTCAGGACTTTGCATGTTTCATGTTTCCGTACTCATCGGTGATGACTACTGTTCCGAAAGTTCTCTCGGCCGTCAACATCCTCGTGCCAGCGCTACTTCCAAACGTGCGTAACCCCCCTGGTACCCTTCAATATGATCGAGTCGTTGATGTTCCGCACATACAGTCCCCATACTACACCACCCTCCAAAAGTATGCACCTCCAAATTCTGTCGCTAACTCCTACTACTAATAACACCAAACCACTTACAGCTTTCAGGTATCCATCCTTGCGATCCTTGCCACGCGCATGCACCTCCATCTCTGGCATCTCGACCAACATATGCACAGCTCTGATGCCCTTATATACATTTCTATGTCCGACATGTCACCTGCAGACTGTACGGTGTAATGTCTTATCGCGTGGCTTATCCGTCGTGGGAGGAGCGAGATTTGGACTAGTAGATGACCGGTCGGGGTGGAACGCACTTGACTTATAATAATGCATTTTTGTCACATACACAAATATCATAACACGAAATAGTAGAGCTAATACGTGATCAGGGAGGCCCTGCGGGTGCATATCATGGCCATTCTCCTTGGATTCCCCTAGGTCCTCATGCATACAATCAGAAGGTATATTGGCGATATCCGCCACTGCCAAGGTAGTAATGTTACTATTCAATACGCGAGGGTGGAACGCAGACTGAATGAGTCTTGGTTTCAGTTAGACGCCTGCTCATTTCACAGCTCATGTATCATGACTCATGAACATAATATATTGAAGGGTTGGCGAAGGGTAAGCATGGGCTATAGCATAATCTCGTTATCATCATCTAGTTAACTACATAGTACGAAACAACCGTCCGAGTCTATTCAACTTAAAAAGTAAAATGAGCAACGCATAAGATCTGTCTTTAATGAGAGAGAAGGAAAAAGGGTACGGTATTCTTCTAGCTGCTGAGCCGTAGTCACTACTCCACCGCCAAAGATCAAACTCTCCAGGGGACACCGTGACCGTGCCAAAAATCCCTTGAACGCATCATGAGGCCATTCACCTACATTGCGAACCTCGACCGTGCGTAGATTGGGGAGCGTGATGATAGCGAATAGCCCGAGACTTCCGATCCAGTCCACATCCAGATTCCCGGATATGCACAAGGATCGAAGTTGGGAGTGCGACGATTTTGCCGGCGTCTCGACCGCCGACCTAAAAATTCCAACTATCGTCAGTGACGAGAGATTAGGACACAGGCGGAGCAAGCAGGGGAAGCAATCTAGTGAGTCTACCACGATCTCGAGATTCGTGAGATTGACCCATGCGAGAGGATTGAAGCCAGACAACATTTTGAGGTCAAACCACAGGTTCATTAACTTGAGAGTGTGCATGTTGGGCGGCAGTTTCGTGATAGAGAGGACGACAGAGTGGGCGATAGTTAGCACAGGAACAGAAACCGTCGTGTACATAACCAGTTCCTCGAGTCTCTGGAAGTCCGCCGCCACCACTGCACAGGAGCCGTTACCGGAGGATAAGCCAAAAGACAGACGATATCTGATTGACGTATGGCTGGAGCAGGCGTCGTACCTCCATCCCGTCGTCATCGTTGTGACACTCGGGCGCCAACGACAGCTGACGTCCTCGTGATCGCTTGAGGTAAGAGTCATAACAAAAAGCTCTCTGCTGCCAGTTACCGTGCCCGACTTCCAATCGCAGCTTGCGCCATAGACTCGACGTGTCCACAGCAACCTCCCGCCATCGTTTACATACTGCGGTCAAGACCATGGGAGCCAAATTTGGCGCGGGCGTCCAGTCTTCGTTTTCTAACATGTAGTACAGAAAAATTTCGGCTAGGATTTCCGGGGGGAAGCGCCAAAGAGCCGATGAAAATTTCTTGTGAGAATTGTGGGACTGCACAATCTTGGCCTTGTCTTCGACGAGTTGCCGGCGACGATAGCTGACACCACGTCTGTTTGAGACCTTTTTCCTGACTACATCCACCTGCTGAAGTGAATGTTTATTATTATATTCGGATGCCAACAACACCTCCAAAAGCAAGTACTAACGGGGATATGTGAGCCTGCTGATGAATTGGCGTTTGAGTGGAATGGTTGCATATTAACGCGAGAGATGTTTGGTTGTTGGAGATGCAGACTGAAAGTAGGAAGTTCTGTCGACCGTCGCATCCCTCAATACAACGCTCGGAAAACCACACGTCCACAATGAAGACGCCTTGTTATTGTAGTTTCTCACAGCAGGTCTTATGTAAAACACCAGTCATCCACATCTGGACAGTGGAGACGTTGCATTATTGCAAAGGGAGTCGGTGCGAGCGTTTGTGGAATCTGTGGCGAAAATAGCATTCAGGAAATGGCGCTCACCCGAGTCACGGCGCAGAGTGTCATTCACACCCACAGAACCAGGGCCCGAGACGATCCTGCGAGGCATAAGTTTGAATCAGTATAGATTATCAAAACATTGTGGAGATCAGGTACTAAACTAACCTTCGATATCGCACGCGTGCGCACTACATCAGACTGTGCTTCTGCTCAGCAACAGTGACAAGTGCAACCGACCACGTCGCAAAGACAATCGAAACATAACTTTGATAGGGTTTGTCCTCGTCTGGTGGCGAACTATAAACCGTAGCATCCCACTTCAAAAAAGCTTCTGGGTCCCATCGAGTGAGTCTATCGATAGGTAATCGTCAGCATGCGAAGATAGTGCCGTTACGTACTGAAGTAGGCCCTGGTCGCAATCACTGACGCAGACTACCCATGGGCGAGCTTCAGTGTACAATATACGAGTTAGCATGTGATAACAAGATGTGCGGAGTGCTCAACGAACAAAATGCAGATTATGCAGAGGCTCATCCCGGACAGAAATCGCATGTTCGAATTTCTCTTTCATAGATCGTTGCCCTTTCCTAAAAATAATGACCAAGAGAAACCCAGCTGCTAAAGGGACGTACTAGTAGACCACTATCGCAACTAAAGAGTGAAGGAAGTTATTCGCAAAGATGTGACAGGGCGGTTCACCCTATGATGTGGATCAAATCAGAGTCGTAGAAGACTCGGAGGCACTGTACGTGGGGTCCAAATGGGCACTCGGTTGGTGTACAAAAGTCTGGCGCTTCAACTAGGAATGTCGCGAGGCTGGACGGCCCTTGGAAGAGGCAGGAAGGGATAGGTAGGTTTCATTTGACTGAATCTAGAAATAGTACGGAGTTAAAAGGGACGATGCACAGCCATCCGGAAGATATAGCCATACAACGCACCCATATGCTCTTCGACCTTGCTAGCATCCTGGTAAAACCAAAACCATATGAGCATCACGCACGGACGAACTGACGATTTATTTGATCAGGCAACGTACGGTAGCTTTCGAATGAATGAGAAAGACAAGTGATACAAAAGCAGGCATCCACTAACCTCCGATGTCGCGCGCGAGTGACTAACTTTGATCAGGTTCGTCCTCAGTCTAGCAGCGAAGTTTAAAAAGGACATGCCGTACGGTGCGCAGCAGTCGTCTATACGATTTAAAGAGACGGAACATGCCTTCATGCTCATCAAGGTTGTTCGACCCTGCTAGCATCTTGGAAAGACCGAAACCCATGTGAGCATCAGTGGCTGCATCACGCACGGATGAACTAATGATTAATGTGAGTAGGCAAAGTGCAGCAGCTCTCAGATGAGTGAAGAGATAAGTAGCACAAAAACAGGTATTAGCTAACCTCCGATGTCGCGCGAGTGCACTAACTTTGTTCAGGTTCGTCCTTGCCTAGCAGCGAAGACATGTCATACGATGCACAACCATCTGGAAATTTTAAATAGATGGAACGCGTCTATATGCTCATAATCGCTCTTCGACCTTGCTAGGATCCTGGTAAGACCAAAACCCATATGAGTATCATGCACTTTGAACTGACAATTGATTTGGGTAGGCAATGTGCGGCAACTTTCGAATGAGTGAGAGACAAGTAGTACAAAAACAGGTATTGACTGCTTCCGATATCGCGCGCGAGCGCACGGACTTCGATCAGGTTTGTCCTCGTCTAGCAGTGAAGTTTAAAGAGGACATGTCATACAATGCACAGTCGTCTGAAAGATTTAAAGAGCTGAAACACGCCCATATGCCCATCATCGCTCTTCTTTCTTTCAAAAAAATCCTTGTGTTATCGTTCTTTGACCTTGCCAGGATTCTGGTAAGACCAAAACCCGTATGAGCATCATGCACGGATGAACTGACGATTGATTTGAACAGGCAAAGTGCAGCAGCTCTCGAGCGAGTGAGGGTTGAAAACTACGCACCGTCAACCTAGCATTACAGAGCACAAAGAGAACCAACCTGCGAACATATCCATTAACCGACATACTTGCCAGCCTGTTTGACGAATACAACTGTGATGGCTTCCAGCTCGATGCAGCTCGGTGCAGCAGAAAACAAATCAATTTTGACACCAATCATGACCTTGGAGGGACATGGACTATGGAAATATTCCTTGCAGGATCCTGAGGAGTACAAACATATTTCGTGCATTTCCTATTTCTCCGACGGCAAGCAAATGATCAGCGGATCAGGCGATAAGACCATTCGGCAATGGGACCTGCGAGCCGGTAAGGAGATTGAGGAGGCTCGGGAGGTTTGTGAGCATGGTATAGTATCAGTGATGATATCAAGGGATGGTCGATGGGTTGTCACTGCCAGCGATGAGGAACTCAAAGTCAGTGAGGTTCAGACGGGGATCGTGAGAACATTTCACACTGGGAGAATTACCTGCATCGACATCTCGGCGGACAGCACATTGCTAGCGAGTGGGTCATACAATTGGATAGCACGAATATGGAGCTTGCACACGGGCAAACTCGTGTCTGGTCCATTCAAGTTTAGCGATGATATTCCTGGCTTAAGAGAACTTGGACTCTCAAAAGACTCTCGGAAGCTGGCGATGGTTCAGATATCAGATCGAGCACACTTCCACTGCCTCCAGGTGTGGGACGTCCAAGCACAGAAGTTGGTTGTACAAAAATCTATCCCTAGCGTTTCGGAGTCGACTTTCCCGATCTTATGGACAACAAAACACGAAACCATTATAACCATATTCCAGGACGACCTCACTACAATACATGAGTTTGACGCATCAACGCTCAAAGCCGTCGGGGCTCCTTTCCAACACACTTATCGCATCATTAGTCTAGCACTCTCATCTGATTGTGTTCTCCTCGCCAGTTCTTCCTACGACAACACCATCAAGCTATGGACCTTCGAGTCCCGTCAGCTCCTCGCTTCATTTGACGTCGAATCCTCCAGAACTCTCGTCATCTCGCCCGATTCCTGCCAACTGGCTTACACGACCTTCCGTGACACCAAGATCTATATATGTAACATTCCAGCCGATATTCTTACTACCATTGAACTTGCAGAAGAACCGCAACCTAGTGTATGTGTTCCCTCTATATATATCATTTATAGCTAATATTCTTACAGTCCAGTAAATCTGGACGTCTATCCCATTCTGTTTTACTCGACGTACGTGGTTCTTCTCTTTCCTTCATCTTCATCACACTGTCCTTCATTACAGTCTGATGCAACACGTCGCCCCGTGCGCCGTAAACCAGTGACAATATCTGTCATGTCCCCCATCCCCCAAGCTTTACCTACCAGGGACTCACATGTTCGCCTCCGCTTTCCACGCAAACTTTTTTCCTCCTCTTCTCGCACAGACGCGGTTCGCGCCGATCAGCCTCGTAACCCCCTAGACGTATGTTTCTTTTACCTGCTTGCTTCTCACTTGACTCGACGCTTCCCTTGCAGTTCCCTGCTACATCCCCTTTACCTCATCCACTTAGGATGACACCAGATAAAAATGTGAGTGGGGACTTCCATCATTGTGTATTCGACTTATGTTCTTTTAGTCTCGATCCATACCAGCACCACCCACTATCCAATCCTCTGCCATCAGCACTTCCCCAATCCTCAAATCTCGCTTACATCGACTATCGACTTGGTGGCCCCTTCACACAGGTCCTGTGTCGCCGACCATCGTCGATGTCCCTCTCGCGCCGGGTAGACTGGTATGCATGTCTCATCCTTTCTCGTCGTGTTCTAAATCTCATACGTCCATATATAGCGGTACGCCGCAGCGGATGCTCCAAGAGATGATGATAGCCTGATACGTGACGAAGATTATGTTTCTCCTCCTCCTTCCCCCAATCCCGGACAGCATGGTCGGTTTTGTTTCTGCTTCTAAGTGAATTCGATCGCGTATCTCGTTACTGTAATCGTTGCTCGTTGTACATACGCGTTGTCCTCCCTACACTTATGTCAAATTCATCGTTATTACTCCCCCTAAAGCGCTTGAGATATCAACAGTCCCGATGGTCGTTCTTCTACAGTGGCCCGAGTCATGAAAGTGTTTTGTTTTCGAGCAAACTGCACTAAAAACAGTGCGAGGAGTTCACATGAAACTAGCGGTATCGGGAGGTCAGTCCATTCAAAAATATGAAATTTTGATCTTTCATTATCAGGGAGCATCTCAGAAACCGACCAACGTTGAAGTACCAATCCTATATCCAAATTCTGCGCTCGCTGAAACTGATGCTATTCCGAGCGTGTATTGCGTGATTTCTGTCATTGCATGTGTCCGACGATGTATGTATCACTTCACGGTACTCCTCGTCATAAAGAGCCATGAATCACTTGTGACGTATAAGAGCACAACTAGAATTCCAAGCTACTACTTTGAGAAAAGGAACAAGGGCGACGTATTCCGCTTGTTGCTCCGCAGTCATAATCACTGTACCGCCGAAAACCAGGCTCTCCAGGGGACACGCCGACCTGATCAGAAACGTCTTGAACTCTTCATGAGGCCAGGTTTTTATATTCCAAACATGAAGTACGCGTAAATTGGGGAGTGAGAGAGCATCGAACATATTCTGTAATGGTTCTCTGGAACTCCAAGAATCGCCATAAAGACGCAGAGATTGAAGCTTGGGGTGCGTGAATGGACTCAAGGACGTCTTTTGGGGGGATTTCGCGTAATTCGTCAATGAAGAGAGGTTGGGACATAGACTGAGCAGACGGAGGAATGCATATGGTTTATATACCGAGATCTCGACTTTTGTTAAGTGGGCCCATAAGGGAGTGAAGGAACATAGTTGCTTGAATGTGGTATGATTTGGAATGATGAGCTCCTGAAGTGCTGAGAAATCTTTGAATACGCATTCAGGTTGCTCGACTTGTCCAAAAAGGATATTGAGAGAAGAGATTTGATGGATGTAAGGATGGAGAAGGCTTCGTACTAGTGGGTTCCAATCATTGTAGCAGTGGAGTGCCAGCGAGATTGGATGGCCTAGGGTTCGCTTGAGCCACACGTCATAGCAAAAGGCTCGTTTTTGCCAGTCATTATGCTCCACTGCCACCCACAGCCTGCACCATAAGCTGGGCGTGCCCACAGCAACTTCTCTCCATCGTCGGCATATTCTGGTCAACAGTATGGGTGCCTGTCTTGATGCAGGCGACAAGTATCTGTCTTCCGGGAGACAGTAAACGAAAATGTAGGATAAGATTTCAGTTGGCAAGCGCCACAGAGCCAATTTAAGTCTCATGTGCGGATTCATGGACTGAATCATCTTGTTCTTCTTTTCGACGCGTTGTTGGTAAAGGTTTTGGATACCATTCATAATCGCTTCCAGGTCTGAGATCTCGTGCAGAACTGTATCTAATTGATGGTTGCGTTCAGTGTTGCGTTCAGTGATGATGGCGTTGATGCTCTGGTCTTCGAGCTCGATAGCACATTGATTAGGATTCAATAGTGCGGCTCGGGAGTACGGGGTGTCGAGGTCCAACATCTGCTATTTTTCAGATATCATATACAAATAGATCATTTGGCGTATTACAGTTGTTTGTGAATGTAGCTGAAGCGGTTGGTTATTATTCACAAAGTGACGTATTAGAACTTTTGCAAGTACTTACCAGGTTCTGTATTGCAGAAATGATGTCCGAAACCGCGGCTAGATTTGGGTTCGAGTTGACTGTCTGCATGTCGTTTGCGAGACGTTGATGAATAACTAGTAGCGATAATGTGACATTGTTTGGTTCTGTTGAATTCCAAAGCTTTGCCGCCACAGCGATGCGAACACGTGTAAGTTTAAATTTTACCATATGATATAACGAGCCCCCCGCCCCCCTAGACTCTTGATGATGGCGACGAGCAAGACTTGAGCTTCTGATATATCATGATCAACACTGGTACTAGTCTGTCTTCATATCGGCAGTACGGATGTTCTGAATCCCGTGTTTCGACCCTACTATATCCGCAGCATGCCACGGCTGCACATTTCTTGGTTTTCGAAAGAAAGGCGGGCCCGCACAAATGCCGCATTGACGCTTCCAACGAAGTTTACGCTTAATAACACTGAGGCTCTGTCCGGGGTTCCTCGAATTCAATCACTTCTCTGGCTTTCTCCCATCAATGTCCGACTGTGTTTCAGCTATCATTATGTGATCTTGCAGAATAATGCGGGTGAGCACTGGATGGCGTAAATACTAGCAGGGGCTTGACTACGTACGTTCCAACTTGAGCTCTTTTATCTTGCAGTCTAACTATCCGTTTACAGGTAATTATACATTGTTGAATCGATTAAGATGAGCACTGACGATCACACTCCGAATTTCTTACCCACTGGCAAGGCTCCACCTTCCAGAGATGACGTTTGCGTGAGGTGTGAGTCGGGACGGTAAGTTCCCTACTTCTGCACCAAACATTCGCGACTTACATCTGCTCTAGCCATATGCGGCTGCTACTATGCACCGCCATTGGCTCTTTGCTAACGAGATACGATAGGACCTCGTTTAGTTTCAGACCTAGAAGCGAATTGTTCAGTAAGAGAGCCCAAATTATGCCATGACTTCCCTTATAACGCCACTCCTTAGAACGAATAGCATTTTGGGCCAGCCATGATAAGGCATAATTGTACTTCTTTGTAAGTACCAGATAGGCTTGCTACAGTCTACTTGCCATTCCGCCTGCATGCGATCTCACTGGGTTGAGTTATCTCATGACGGCCTCGCATAAGCAATCGATACAGCAACTTGAAGAGAAGGGATTTGAAGTTCGTACCAGCAAGAACAGGCTCGGATCATATTATGACGCCTTGTAAACGAAGAGTCCTGATTATCATAACCCTGGGTATCCTCTCGGTCTTATGATATGTCCGCGTGCAGTTGAGCGTTCATGTGTTGATCGAAGTTGACCTCCTGTTTTCCTCAGGTAGTTCGAAAGAACGTTGCGAGATAAAGTATAAAAGCAGTAAGCCAAGAAAGCTTTCGAATAGCCCTCACTCTTGCTTCCAACCATGCAGCCCTCACTTATTTTCACGATGCTCGTCACCTTTGCCACTATTGTTGTGGCATATCCCACACCAGAAATGGGGGCGGATTGTACTTGTGAGCACTTGCGCGCCACTCTAGTCAGTGGAAGTGATACTGATATGTTATACAGCTTTGGCTCAGCACGGCCTTCCCTGTAACATCGTTGTTTTTGACACTAGGGACCCTGGTTCTCCTGGTTCGCCTGGTTCGCTTGACTCTCCTGACTCTCCTGATTCACCCGACTGCCCCGACTTCCCTGACTCGCCCGACTCTCCCGATTCTCCCGACTCGCCCGACTCGCCTTCTAGGCGTGAGGATGCTGAACCTAACTATGTCCACCAGAGAGGTAAGTCATTATATGCCTGGTGGATTAATCGATCACCCATGTGTAACACTTATCGCAACAGAAGCTTCTGGCTACCAGTCCAACACCAAGAGGTGTGACGACTAACATGTATCTAAGAGAGGTATTGGTATTGCTGCTCTTTGTTTCTACTATCATTTCTCATTGTTTTTCAGCTGTGAAATAGGCAATGATTCGCAAGGGGTGTTAGAACATCGTCAGTCCCAACTTGTACTAGTACTTGATGCAAACCAGAATTCGTATTTATATTGGGTTAGACATATGAAAATTCCGGGTAGCTACGATGTCTCGTGAAATCTACTTTGGTTAAAAGACGAACACCCAACCTAGTGTGTGAGAAACAAACGCGGCGTGATAGTACTTGGGACTATCGTAGGAATAATTTCGAGAAGACTGTTCACCATACATATATAGGATTGTGGAGCTATCGACGAGGCCTTGAGGCATCACCCAATACCGTCGTGATATTGGAGCAATCCCTAAATAGGCCAACAAAGACTCATCATTGGAACGGTGCATTTTCGTCATTGAGCCATTCCACTCCTTTCTCACCAGCATATACAGGTATTATCACGTACACGCACCCTTGGCAGCACTTTCCGACCCGGTTTTATGTATCATGAAATCATTCTAAGACACCTGCAAGTTCCCCGGTGAGGTCCTCATCAAATTACTCGAGAGGCATCTTCCTGAATCCTCCCGATGCTCGCGCGCCTCCCCGTCATTTCTCTTGAAGATGTGTACCTGTCAGGTAACCCTCCCACGTATCCTCGTCCCCTGATGTTGAAGAGGGTTCGCTTCCTTACGTTGGTTCTTGGAACTGTGTAGTGATTCGCCATCGTCAGCCACTGTTATGTAACCATTCACAATCTTATTGATAGTGTCTCGCACATGTATCTCTTTTCACCAGCGTTTGTTCCTACTCCTCGAGGTATGTTCGCTCTTGTACATCGTGCCTAGACTCGTACTGACTTAGGGCAGACTTACTCGTTGCTCTCTTCTATCAGAACTCATACCAGATACGCCACCAACCCCTGTGACAGACTCTGCGACAGTCTTCTCTCCAGAGTGCCCATTGTCCCAACATCCTCGTCTCCTCCGAATCGTGACTTCGTCCAACTCAGATTGAAGTTGAGGCAGCTTCAAACATACAGAATCTCGTACGTTTGGATGTTCTTCCTTGATCTCTATTCGGACAAGCTCAACTTGAATCAGTTTACTGCGACAATGCCAGAAACCAAGACTTCTAACAGCCTCCTGCGCAATAACGTCAATTTCCCAACATTCAGCGACCTTCCGCATGAGTATTATGTTGACCCCACCTACTACGTCAAGGGCCCATACAGAATTGTACCCAGACAACACTGGTGCTTCCTTGGCGAGATCGTCGGCTCCTACGGTCTCTTCCGAGTCCTATTACGCGTAAAGGATAAAGGTGGTCAAGTCGTCACCATCGGCCTATACACTGACGACCGCGGACACGCGCTCACTCCGCAAATCAAGCAAGGCCACACAGTTGCTGTACTGTATGGCGAACAGCATGGCTTCTTAGACATGACCGTCGGCATACGCGTCGAAGAACCCTCCATTATCAAAATCATACCATGCTCGCTCGAGCAGCTGCTGAAGGCCAGCGATGATGTGGCTGCGCGCAACTCGAACACCCAAGCAAGATGCTGTGGGTCTTGTGGTAAAGAGGGGAATACTTCTCATAATACGCACTTGCTCTTGTGCTCCCGCTGCAAACAAATGTCATACTGTGGGGAGGTAAGCATTGGTGGTGATACATTCCAATGCAAGTCGTGTGTCTGACTCAAGCTTGTTCTTAGGCTTGCCAGAAGCAAGCCTGGGTGAACGGTCACAAGGCTGACTGCAAGGCACTTGTTTGGGTACAGTGGTTCGCGGCAAGAAACTGGGGAGTGTTCAATGGACATTTTAATTTCTGATGCTTCCGCGCTGATCAATTGTGGCTTTGCAAATGATGCTATTCTCCTGCTAGTCGCATTGTATTGTTCTACTGTCAACCCAGAAACGTCATCTCTCGAGATATGTAGCTACCCAGGATTACCAAGAGTATGAACTGTTACTGTAATTCACTACTTTAAAGGAAGGAAGTGAGGGAAACATATTCCGCTTGCTGCGCATCTGTTATCGTCATTCCACTACCGATAGTCAAGGTCTCCAGGGGACACTTTGACCGTGCCAAAAAGGCCTTCATATCTTCATGAGGCCAAGATGTATTGTAGCGAGCTTCAAGCGCATGCAAATTGGGGAGAGATAGAGCATTGAGCAGCTCAGATAGAGTGCGCGTGAGCGAAGCGTAGTAAATGATGCATAAGGATTGTAATTTGGTGTGCGTGAATGATTTCAAGGGTCCTCCTTGGTCCATTTCTATCTGGGTGTTTAAGGAGGAGAGATTGGGACATAGTTGAAGCAAATGGAGCAATGCGTTCGGGTGAGATACGGCGATCTGGACGTCTGTCAAGTGGGCCCATACAGGACTGAAAGAAGACAAAGGCTCGATGTCGAAAAACGGTGTCATGTCAATGAACTTGAGACTGCGCATAGTGGACGGCAGTTGCGAGATGGATTGTGCAATAGTTGGAATATCATCATTTGACGTCCCTCGTATGGCTAGCTCCTGAAGTGCTAGGAGGTCTGTAGCAAGCAGTCGAGGGTGTCTGCCACCGAAGTAATCACCATAGACTAGAAGAGATGTGATGTGACTCATGTAAGGCCGAAGTAGGCTTGGTAGTTTGGTCGAGTAGTGGTACCCGAGTTCTAACGAGAGCGGATGTCCTCGTGAACGCTTGAGCCACAAGTCATAGCAGAAGGGTGCCTTCAGCAATTTTTTGTCATCGGCTTGCACATACAACCGGCACCATAATCCGGGAGTATTCACAGCAACCTCCCTCCATCGTCGGCATATTCTTGTTAACAGTATAGGGGCTTGAACTGGGAGGCTCGATGGGGATAAAAAATATATGTAATCAGGGAGACAGTGGTTAAATATTTGGGATAAAATTTCCGTTGGGAAGCGCCAGTGAGCCGATAGCAGTCCCTCGTGCAGATTCATCGACTGCGTGATCTTCTCCTTCTTCTCAAGGACTGCCTGATGAAGATTTTCGACACTATCCATCACGGCCTCCAGGCCCGAGATCTCATACATAATTGTATCCAATTGCTGCTGGCGCTGAGCGATAATGTTGACAACGCTCTGACGTTCGAGCTCGATGGTAGAGCGGTCGGTATTGGGGAACCTGGAGTACGGAGTTTCAAGGACTGGAATCTAGTAGTCATCATCAGTAACATGACATGTGATCGTATGTCAGAATAGGCCAAGGAGTAGACGTACAATCACTTGCGAACGTGCGATCTGGAATGTATTATTGTTATTCTCAGCTGACACGGATTCTAATTCAAGAAACTTGGCACTTACTATGTTTTGTAGTGCACCGATGATATCTGAAACAGAGTCAAAGATATTGAATTCCGAGTGGGGTGTCTGCATGTTGTTGGCTAAGTCGAGAAGTAGATATGTAATGGGCTAGAGCACCGTGGAGGGAACTCAGCGAGTGAAACAGATGCAATATCAAACAAGTGCGCAAGATGTTTACACTATTATGTAACGAGACGCAGGAATAAAGTGTCAGTATTTTTGCGCAATTCTTGTAGGTCAAACCCATTTCTTCATTTCGAAAAAACTTGTCAACCAGGAAACATCATTAATCATTTCTCGATATGTAGATACCCAGGATTATCAAAAGTATCCATAACCGTAATTCACTACTTCAAGGGAAGGAATGAGGGAAATGTATTCCGCTCGCTGCGCATCTGTTATCATCGATCGACCACCGATAGTCAGGGTCTCCAGGGGACACATTGACCGTGCCAAAAATGCCTGTATATCCTCATGAGGCCGAAAAGATGCATTAATGTGGCTATTGCGGCGAACTTCTAGCGCGCGCAATTTGGGGAGTGATACAGCGTTGAACAAGTCAGATAAAGGGCGCGTGAGCGAAGGCCTATCATGAAGGATGATGCATAAGGATTGTAATTTTGTGTGCGTGAATGATTTAAAGGGTCCCATTTGGTCAAAATCTACGCGGACATTTGAGGAAGAGAGGTCGGGACATAACTGAAGCAAATGGAGGAATGCGTTCGGGTACCATACGGCGATCCGGACATCCGTCAAGTAAACCCATACAGGGCCTAAAGAAGACAAGTGCTCGATGCTGAAAACCGGCATCATGTCAATGAACTTGAGACTGCGCATAGTGGACGGCAGTCGCGAGATAAATTGTGCAATAATTGGAATATCATGATTTACCATTACATATATGGTCAGCTCCTGAAGTGCTGGGAGGTCAATAGCAGACAGCGGAGGGCGTCCACCCCGGAAGTAATCGACAGAGACTCGGAGAAATCTTATACGCCTCATATGAGGCTGAAGAAGACTTCGTAGTTTGGGCGAGTAGTGGTACCCGAGTTCTAACGAGAGCAGACGTCCTCGTGAACGCTTGAGCCACAAGTCATAGCAGAAAGCTGCCTGCTCCCAGCCTCCGTCGTTGGCTTCCACATACAACCTGCACCATAAATCGGGCGTACATACAGCAACCTCCCTCCATCGTTGGCATATTCTTGTTAACAGTACGGGGGCCTTAACTCGGAGGTTCAATGGGGATAGCGAAAATATGGTTTCAGGGAGACAGTGGTTGAATATTTGGGATAAGACCTCCGTTGGCAGGCGCCAGAGAGCCGATAGGAGTCCCTTGTGCAAATTCATCGACTGCATAATCTTCTCCTTCTTTTCGACGACTTGCTGATGAATATTTTTGATGCTGTCCATCACGGCCTCCAGATCCGAGATCTCGTCCAGAACCGCATCCGATTGCTGCCGGCGCTCACCGATGATGCTGACAACGCCATCTATCACGGCCTCCAGGCCCGAGAGCTCGTACAGGACTGTACCCAATTGCTGCTGTCGGTGAGCGATAATGTTAATGACGCTCTGGCGTTCGAGCTCTATGGTAGAGTGCTCTGTATTGTGGAATCTGGAGTATGGAGTTTCAAGGACTGGAATCTAGTCATCGTCAGTAACATGACATGTGATGTGTCGAAATAGACCAATGAGTAGACGTACAATCACTTGCGAGCGTGCGAGCTGGAATGGATTATTGTTATTCTCAGCTGACACGAATTCTAATTCAAGAAACTTAGCACTTACGATGTTTTGTAGTGCACCGATGATATCTGAAACAGAGCCAGAGATATTGAGTGCCGAGTGGGGTGTCTGCATGTTGTTCGCTAAGGCGAGAAGCAAAGATGTGATAGTAGGCTAGAATACGAGGGAACACAGCAAATGAAACAAATGCTATAAGATTGAGTGGAGTGACCAGTCCCCTGTTACTCGTCCGAAAAATTTCGGCTCTCAGAAGCCGCGTCACTTCAAGGTACGAGCAATCACCGTTCAAACTGCGTGTACAGCCATTCAATGACCCCCGTCACCTCGAATGATGCATCAAAATTTTATTGACACATAGGATATATATCATGGCCGCTATTCACGCTCTACAGTGCGGGATATGCATTCGAAGTACCGTCGCAACAAAATACCTTCCACAGTGGTCACATCTTTCGAAAAGCCCGTCCCAGTCCCAGACACTTACACCTGTCTCACCGGAGAGGTCAGCAAGAAGACCTGTTTCATAGGCCGAGAGCCTGTTCATCACAACCATGCCACTGTCTTGTCCGAGCGGGAGACGTGTGGATACACGTTGTCCACGACGAGCCGCCATTGACAACTGACTAGCAGCAGCACCTTGAATAGATCCTTTGTATTAATTAGTTTTTGAATGATACTCTATAAATTGTGCTACAACTCACCAGCACGACGATGAACTAGTCGGATAAATGGACGTGGATTTGCTGAGGGTGCACCAACTAAACCACGGAGTTGTCGAAAGTCGGGCCAAACTGAGACATGGGATCCGAGATAGCCGTGGAAGTAGGGCGCAATGTCATGCTCATTAGGAGCAAGCTGGCGGAAGGCATCATGAACTGGATTCATGTTAGGTTGGGGGTTTGCAACTATGAGCAGACCATTAATACTGACACCTGCATCTAGGTAACAGTAAATACATACCGAGTGTTGGCAGTTCTTCGTAACTAGAGGTAAAAAAAGATGTGTGATAAATATCTGTGATGTTGGCTGTCGTGAAATCGTGAAAATCGTGTCAGTACAAAGGACGTGATCACCAGTGCAACATGCTAACCTCTAAATCCGCACTGCTCATTAGCACACTGCATCAAGACATGCCCATTCACGGCAGAGTCCACAATCCTGGTGGAACAAGGTGTGTCTGAGAGCATGCCGCAGAAACATTCTATGAAAAGCCCTCGACGCTGCAAGTAATCTGCCAAGCCATAAGGACAAATGCGGAAACGACCCGACTTTGGGCTGCAAACATAACTTTAAGTCAGTGGTTGGCAGTAAGTCAAAGTGAGCTACACACTATGCAACAGTGACAAGTTGCTTCACCTCACGTGAAAAGATGACGAGTTCTGTGCTTCCACGCTGGTACTCGATACACGGGCGAAAAATTGAATCCATGATGGCTAGCCTGGCCTACTGTACTATATCATGAGCGAGATGCTGACCTTTATACAGAGAGCCTTGCTGAATCCCTCGGCCATGTTATGCGAGGTAAATTTTGAATGCAAGTGTCCGTTCAATGAACTGCAAGAGCCCGAAATTAGTGGGTTCCTAAGTGTGCGGGTGCATCGGTGCCCATTTGCAAGTCATTGATGAACGTCCAACTGTCACATATACAGGCAATTATTTGAATTCAATGCTAGTATCTGCCCCCCATTTTTCCTTCTGTCTAATTCTCAATGAGTCTTACCTGTTCGCAACTTGAAGCACTTGAAAAAGTGCAACAGATATTGGACAGTGCAGGATTGTCCCCTATCTCAGTCACAAGCTCAGTTGTGTCATCGCCGTCATCACACCAAAATACACCAGACGTGGATTCAACCCTCGACACCATCTCCACTCCCCCATATCCAAGATATCAGTCTCCCGCTCCATATTATTTTACCACCGAGGAAATTTCACGGAGAGCCAACTATGTGAATTGAGCCACCAAAGTCAGCGCAATTGTTGATCACCCTGTTCATGCTATCCTCGAGTATCCCATAACAGCACCTGGCAGCATTGCACACCGTTTTGTTGTTGATCCCATATCCTTCGTGCAGCCTCAATCAGCATTCCAATATTCTCTTGGTGGAGGTCATGGTGGGCGTGAAAATGCAGTGTGCCTGCTTCTCCGAGATGATGCAGGCAAAGGTGTTCGTTGTCGCCAGCTTAAGTCATCGTGTATGTACATTAATGATGTCTGAGACTATTGATTTTATCATACTAATAAGAACGAGAACATACAGGCAATGGCCTCAAGGTATGTACATTCAACGAGGCCAGTTTCAGCAGTAATTATGCTGCATCTCCAACTTGGAGTCTGTCTCAGGCTGGATACAGTGATGATTCTGCAGAGGCAGAGGTTTTCAACAAGACTCTAGCATTTTTTTGTGCTGTCTCTGAACGGGGATGTGGCTTCGATGCAAACTTGGATTTAAGTCCTGAGATAGTACTAGACAGCTTTGATCTTCACTCCGAGTCAGAGTCCAGGGGGTGTGGGGCTCCCCTCATGTTATCTGTGAATAATCTTGGCCGTCCATATATTCAGTCAGTTCAACTTAAACGGCTAGAGTGTGTACTACATAGACTAATGATCCATTGCAGCTGCAAAAATTTCAATGCTTCTGTTTCTTGAGCTCGCACCCATCTTGTCCTCCGGAATTTGGACGAATTCAATACTGATTACTTGTGGGCACTTATAGAGAACGAGCTGAAGGCAATTTCCTTTCATGAAACACGAGCAAAAAATGATGGATATGGTCCTCTCATGCCGTGCACATTTGTTGCCTCCCCTGCCGAGCAGAAGCAATGTTGTCGTGAGTTACTTTCTGTCATTTGAAGTAGCATATATCCTAATCTGTTGGGCAGCATATTGGCATCGAAATCATGAAGGAAAATTGGCTCGTGGAACACTTCGTAGCTGGCCAGTTCCATGCAAGGCAAAGTTCGACATATATACACCATACAATCTCACTGCCTGCCCACAAGTCCTCGTTATCTGCACCAACAATCACAGCCACCCTCCGCCTGCACCTGTCAAAACTCCAGAAGCTATTAAAGCCATTTTCTACGAGTTGCTGCTCACACTCAGCTGGAAACTTGCTTATGCAACACCACGTCGGATTTTACTTGATTCTGCATTCATACAAGCTTTACAAGCTCACCTCAGTTGGAAGGAAACCCGCAATCCCACACTGTCAGACCTTCACCCGTCTCTTGGGAACTCTGACCATGCTCGGCGCCTCATCAACACTTTGCGGTTTAATGAATTTCCAAGTGGAACAGGATTCGCAGGTGCTATTCACTTGGCAACAAAACACGATCTTTTGCCCATTGACGAGCGCTATATTCGTTGTGCGGAGTCACATCAGCTATCCACCAAATCAGCATCAAATCCACCTGCGGCCACCACATCAACTTCGATTAGTAGTCTGCGGCTGGTCATTTGTATGACAAAGCGGATGTCATGGCGTCTGATGCAAGCAAAACGGCTCTCGATCGACACTTCATTCAAACGTGTACATGGCTGGCAGGAATTTGAATTTGAGTCTTGGGACGTTGCCCACATGAAATGTAAGTTCAATACCAAATTGCTCAACTCAGCTGATGGCCATGACCATGTATTGTAGCTGTTATTGGTGCTCGAGCATTCACGACATCTCAATCAGCACAAGCACACTTCATCCTCTTCCAACAAATATTCGAGATTGCCAGTGTGGACACAGGTTGTGCTGTTCAGTTTCAATACATGCACGGAGAAGGGATTCAAACCATCATTGCTGATGGACATAAAGGTCAAGGTCTTGGTAAGTATATTTTCTTGGAATCCGAGTCAACGTGAATTGCAATTTGAATATATTCAATAATTCCACAGGCCTAGGTATGTATTGCGTATACCTGTGTAAAGACTCAATACAGGCTTGCCGCTATGACACCACTGCTCTACTTTGTGACCTGGATCCATATGACCATCTGCGCCGCTTCTACCGTCTATGTCTTGCGCACTATAAACGGAATATCCGTAGTCTCCGTGGTCAAATTCCCAAAGATGTGGAAATTGCCATGTTGACGATCGCATCAGTGGAGCCTCATCCTGATCTACAGGGAACATTGAAGAAGATAAAGAAAGGTGGAAAAAAGGCTGCAGGTTTGTGATATTTTCTAATTCATGTTTTGAAGTATTTCTAAGGCAAGATTACTACCGGCAGCATGGCTTAAAGATAAAATTGAGGGCACGAAGTTTGTGCTACCGGCACTCTATCAGCCAAACAGTCTCATCCCGCTCGAAATTTGGAAGGCCTCACCAACTACTACCAATGGAAACGAGCAAGCACACAGGAATATCAATCGTGATGGTGTGGGTCTTACGCTATTGGGAGGAATCATGCGAGGATTTCACTATGACACAAACATCAGCGCTAGTTTGGACCTTTTCGATGCATTTGGCATCAACTCCAGCGACCGTTTATCTACCCATGCTTACCGTGCAAAACGTGCTCTTGCTCGACAAGGTAAGCAATACTAGTATATTCATGTTATTATCTAGAACACTTAAATGGTTTTCAGTCAGATATACAAGGTCTTCGCCCTCGGAGGGCAACACAAGCTTCGCATGTGTTCATCTCACTCCTCCACCTGTTGAGCCCCAACCTGAACTCATTCCCAACTCGTCTCTGATGACCGGTTCCACCGGCGGCACCATCCCAGTATTGACATTCAGCACTCTCACTTATGCACTAACTGCAGGTGCACACGTTATGGATCATCGAGCTCGTTCCCCATCGTTTAGTGCTGCACCTCCCACTGTATGCGCAGTACATCACCATATCTATCCCACTCGAGATCAACTGAGCACTTTCAGTACATTGCAAGGTGCTGTAGAGTAGATGATACGATGCCCGGCGGTGCAATTTTTATTAATGGTGCAAAGATTACATGTATGATGCGATGAGATAAGTATTTGGGGGGCAGGAATCAGAATCAAGAGCGCGCGCGACCTTAAACTCGACGTCGGTCGCGGCCTTCATAAGATGAGGTGAGAATGTCAGAGAACCGCGAGCCTGGAACTGAGCGGCCGAGCAAGCGAGAGAGATGAGATGAGAGAAGGCCGCAATTCCAGGTCGAACGTGACAGAGACGGCAAGACAGCCGATGAATGAGGACATGGTGCAGTGGGTGTGAGAGAGTGAGGACAACGAGCGAGCGAGTGGGAGCAGTGAAAAGCCGGTGGAGGATCATAACTGTCTAGGAAGATGTAGTTAAACATATGTCAGTTGGTGAGAGTCTTCAGAGTTGGATTAGTTAGTATGTACATTTCAAAAGGCTAAAGGCAGCCTCATTAACCGACGAGGACACCAACGACGTACATCGATATTTGGAGCATCGAGCAGCGTGCGCAGGTTTGGCCGTGGAGGCAAGATAATAATGAACAGCCATGTCAGCGCTATTGTAAAGTCAACAGGCATTAGTAACGAAGATGGGCTCCTCGGGGTCTTGCATAGGCTTGAAGGAGCAATTGCTCGTACCTTGAACTGACGCAATCCCAGGGAGCCGAAAATTTTCGGACGAGTAACAGGGGACGGTAGACTCGATTGAGTGGTACATCTGCAAAACAACTGAAATGAACGCTTAACTTACGCGCGTTACGAACACTTACGAACGCTTACGACTTCAGTAGTGAAGCCATGCGATTGGTGGAGATCTGACAACTCACTTAGTCATGTCAAAATCACGAAATCGAGTCTTAGATTTAGTCTTAAATTATTTAGTGAATCTTATCTTTGCAAGATAGTCCAATCAATCAATCTAACATTGCGATGCACACCACAGGACGTCTAGACTCGAGGGAAACTACATGAAATCTGTGTGTAGCGTGTGGTACCATTCTTTGTCTGAAAAATTGTTAAGGTAGAAGGTATCATAGCTTTCCAAACACGTCGAGGAGTCAACAGCACGATTAGCTCTGTCCCCGTAAACAGGAATGAGCTCGATTGCATGGGTAACATCGAGCAGAGGAATGATCATGCCAACCCGCACTTGTGTGCCATCAGGACCGGTCACAAAACGGCGCTTAACGCGGAACATCATGACTCCAACATCATCTTGAGGACGTGCGACGACTTCGAAGAGCTGTACATAGAGGAATATTTGGTCAAGTTCAGCAGGCAACGGTGGGCCTTTCTTTGACAAGCCAAACACCATGCGAACTTGAGCTACAATGGCGTCTAGTGAAGAAATGCGTGAATACAAAGATACTGACCGTAACTTCAAAACTCACCAAGATTTTCACCTTCTTCACCTTCACTGTGCATCTGCAGCAGGACAGAATCACAATTTCCACGAGGATAATTGGTAGATGGCGGATATGCTTGTACCTGCTGGCTCGGCATGACGAGACGTGGACGCAACGTCGAATGCAGCTGAATATGAAACTTGTTCCAGACATTGAGCAGTCGGTTCTGGAAACGAGTTGCGAGCGTAGGGTTGACACTTTCAATGAAGGAGCGAAGCGTCAGAGGAAAGTCAGGAAGCTGGTATAATCGCGCCAAAAAAGGTGCTGTCTTGTTGGTGTGGTCACTGGATACAGTGATATGAAAGGCGACCCTGCTGTCTTCAGACAGCAGGCCTTTGAGGAAATGGTTGCGAACGGGACGTGGGCCTTGAAACCGAGACAGTTCTTCAGGAGCGACGCGCATGATCCAACCCAACATCGGGTCCATGTCAACGACTTCGTCGAATTCGTTGACGATGAGGTTGTTGAGGGACATGTCGTTTGAGCGGAGGAGGGCATAGAGGTCGAACTGGCATGCAGTCTCTTCCCGGTCCAGGAGACGGACGACTTGCTGAGTGAACGTTGCACGTTGGTGGCTGGTGCCCTCAAATGGATTCTTGCACTGTGTGATGAGCATGCGCTCACTGACATCAGCAGTAAATTGTATAATGGAGCCAAGCTGGGGGATGGCTCGAGCGAATGATGCTAAGAGCTCAAGTTTTGGAATTTCAAAATGCTCAATAGGACCCGATGTTCCTCGGCGAGCCTCGGCACGGAGAATTGCGTGTTTGAATTCGTGAAACTCTTGGAGGGAGGAGGTCATGTCAGCGATCGATGTTGGAGTGAAAGTTGGAGCCTGTGCTTTGTAGATGAAATCGACCATCGCGCGAACAGCGCGGACGAAATCAGGATCGACGACACCTGCAATTGTAGGTACGATTGTGCGTTGGATGTCCCGATGTTCCCGACCGGTCATCTGCGAGACATGGGAGACACCTTGCCCAAAGTGACGGGTTCCGATGTGTTTATGTTGCGAACGAAAGCGAGTATCGAGTTCATCAGCCCCAACAACTTCCTTACACCACTTGAGGATGTGATCAAAGAAAAATTTATGGCATGTGTGGAGAAGTTCAGGTGCAAGGAAAATAGCTGGATCAGCGAAGCGCCAGTCACGCCAGAAGGGAAGCTGCACCCCGCTGAGATGTGATGCTTTGGCTGCTTCTTGAAATTCCTGGACCTTCCAGGGATCGATACACTGACCAAGTTCTTCAAGTGTCCTGAGTGTGCCCTGGCCGTCGCGAGGTTCATACAACTTTCCGTCCCCGAACTGTGACTGGATGGCTAGAGTGACTGGTGATGTATTCTTACTTACACATGAAACCATCTGTTGTTCGGGGAGGTCGGCGGTATATGCGACAAGGGGGGTAAATCCATAGCGTAAGAGACCCAATGGGTCCACCATACTTGCGCCTACAGTGGCTGCCTCCTTGAGATTCACACAGACTATATCCATGCACCGATGCCACACACGGGCTTGCAAGAGTGAAGAGAACTTGGGGTTGCAAATGAACTGAGGAATGGGCATATACGCGATGCACGACCATGCGTGAGCCGTAGCCTTCATGCGAATGTCAGATCGGATGTTAGCGATAGTAAGGAACGTGGGATGCATCTCGAGACCTCCTGTGTGTCGAGTGACAGGAGTTTTGTCCGATGCAAGAACGATGGGCACAATGGTAGCACCTCGTGGAAGCTCGTCCTATGCATAAAAACTATCGTCAGAATTCATATTCGAACATAAAAAATAATACAAGCCTGGATATCATGCGCACACGAACTCGACATCCATTCACCATATTCCCGTTCTCCGTCAACAAATATCTCATATGGATCGAATTCCATGTCATTGGCAAAAATCGGATTGCCAAATATGTGCTTCGTTACCTCCAAAGCATCACGCCAGATAAGATGCACAGGATGCGTTGTAACATAACCATCTGTCTCGATTGTTGTGCAGCGCCACTGCGGTCCCTTTGGCAGGGCGTCCATAAAGGTTAGCAGTTGGGGCGCAGTTTTGAATGTGGGCTGTTGCCGTGTTTCTGACTTCACCTAATAGTGAGCTGTTAAAATTTAAAAGTTAATGTAAAGTTCACTGACCCATAATAACTTCAAAAAGCGACTTATTTGCCCCTGATTCAGATTCTCGATGAGAAATTTGGCGAGTTCCCATTCCTCCCTCCCAGAAAATGGGTAGTACACATTATGTTCGCGAGCGGACTCATAGTCATGAGCCTTCATGCGCTCGAACATATTTGGCCGTTGAAACCTGTAAATAGAGCCGGATTTCGTGTGATAGCGACCCATGCGTTCTTCACCTGGACCAGCAGGTTGGCGAAGTGCATGAGGGATGGGTACAGCATTGCATTGCGGATCATCTGTAAGGTGAGTGCAAAGTTCTTCCACCTTCACAAATGGCGTGGAACAGGTGGGACAAGGATACTGGCTAGTACCACTATATGATAGCCAGCTTGATCAGGACCATCGTGTAAGTTTGATATCAAAAATGTACTCTCCGGCCCTAAAAAACATCTCGTCAGAGGTAAAGCCCTCTTCTACATTGGATGCCATCGGAGCGTTCAACTTGAAGAACTTATTGATATTGCAGCCTTAAGAATCACCTTGACTGACCATCCACCGCCGTGTATTTGGAATTCTGTTAAGTCCTTCAAACTCCGAAACTCGCTGACAAGTCTGTTGACAGCACCGCAGCGAGAGGCTGAGTGAGAAAACATTCAGGTCAAATCCTCCAAGTCCATTGTTCATATCATGCTGGACACTTGTATTGATACTATGCGCCCTACTAGCCCAACCAGCTCTGCAACTTTCGTCGAACATTCCTCTCCTGCTTATAGAGCAAGTCCCAAGGCTAAGCGTAAGTCTCGGTCTCTACGCAGGTCTCGGTCTCCCCTGGGGAACTACTCCTTACACTCTCCCCGGGGGAACTACACCTTATGGTCTCCCAAGGGGAGCTGCTCCTCATTTAACTCTGCTTTGTTTGACTCTGAGTCAGAGGGACATGATATCCCTATTGCAAGTTTTGTGTCCCTTGTAAGTCTTTTCCACATTTTTGCTGGTACTGATTGTATTGAACTCGATTAAACAGGCCCCAGAGATTCTGGGCGACACAAACATGCCGCCTGAGGATCTCAAAGTGGCTGTTGCTGCTCAGTATGCCACTTGTGAGAAGCTTCGCCACCTTATCATGACCAGGATCTGGCAGGTAGAAGAGGCGAGCAGGTGGACTAGTTTCTTGAACCAATCCATCAACAAGTTGAAGAAAGAACATGAAGCTGCAGAAGATGGGCTTCGACTCTGGATTGAAAACACGCAGAAAGAGTGCACAGAGGTTTCTGAACCATCCTCCAGCGTTACTACAAACCTCCTCAAAGCAAAGGAGTCCCTCAAGTTTGTGCAAGGTAAATACAATGATATGGAAGGACTACTTATCGCACACGGGGTCACCGACACAGACTTGATCATGGCTAACGACGGTGGCGAAGACTCCGAAAGCGGTCGGGACTAGGCAATCAGTTAAGTTCATTTCTTATCTTGGTCAAAAATGTCACTGATTCGTCGATTATCGCTCTAGATCAACGGTGTACCAGTTTTATGTATTCAAGAGTTTTGTAGTAATGTTCGATGTAGCCTCGTGACTGATTTCTCTTCTTCTTGTCACTATCGATACTATCTTGTCACCATCGATATCATTCCGCACTATCACATCTTTTTGCCTATTCTGTCCTTACCCCGCGTGAAACTGCGTCAAACATACTGATCATCATGCCACAAGGTTCGCAGCATGCAGATTTCGGTGCGTCTAATACATAAATGTCTGCATTCGTGATTACTGATTGATCTTTCTATTGAATTGGCTGCGCCATGAGGCCGATAGAACCCTGGGGCCAATTAAATAACCCCGGCTGTTAAGCACCTGGACTCAAGTGTACGTTTTTCTCATACATTTTCCACCCACCCATCATCATGCCCCCAAAGGCCAGTGCAACTCGCAAGCACACGAAGATCACGAAAAAGTGTCCCTCGCGCAAGAATGCGAAGGTAAGTCTTACGGTACTACTACCTATGCATGCTACTAATATAATATTATTAGGCAATAAAAAAACCAGGGAAAAATTCGGGTTTAAACCCGTCTTTGAATTCAGATGCAAGCCAGATCGGTGTCCGTGTCGAACAACCTCAAGGTCCGGCATCATACCAGCAACTAATTTCGTTAATCGAATCCGAAGGCATGGACGAGGATGAGGACAACGAGGACGAGGATGATGAGATGGAGGAGGAAGATGATATGGAGGAAGTCAATATGGAGGAAGCCGATGAACATCTCGCACAACCAGGTCCGTCACACGACTACTACTCATCGTCCATGCAGCCAGCTCCACCGCCGGACTCCCAGCAGCTCCCTCGACAACATCTTGGGCAACCAGGCCCGTCGCACGACTACCACCCACCGTTCATGCAGCCAGCTCCACCGCTGGACTCCCGGCAGCTCCCTCAGCAACATCTTGGGCAACCAGGCCCGTCGCACGACTACCGCCCACCATTCATGCAGCCAGCTCCACCGCCGGACCCCCGGCAGATCCCTCGACAACATCTTGGGCAACCAGGCCCGTCGCACGACTACCGCCCACCGTTCATGCAGCCAGCTCCACCGCCAGACTCCCGGCAGCTCCAACAGCAACCAGCCCCTCATGCTCACACTTACGGGCTCCCACAGATGCCATTCGCACCACCGGAACTCGTGTCTCGTGAGGCACATCAATTTGATGTGCCCACACCGACAACCTTCAGGAATATCGGACACATGCAAGAGCCGCAGAGGGAGGAAGAACAGACACGTTATCTGGGACGCTTACCCATCGACCTGCCCGGAATTCGGAAGGTATTCGTATACGATCCTCGCCGCCCACCCGAAGGCCACCGGGGACAACTGTTCCCAACCGGAGTTATCAGAGTGCGTCGCTCACTTGTATCATGATCGTGACTGACTCTCTTCTACAGGCTACAGGAGACATCACTGTTACTGCACCACTCCCGTCTCGCAGAGAGCTGCCTCCGGTGTCTACTCCTCCCTCGCCTATCACTAATTTGCCTGTGGCTGGCTCCGGGCCTGTGGCCAACAGTCCTGCACGCTCCCATCCCTATGCTCCCCAACGTCCGACTAATGAGCAGTTCAAGAAATTGATGGAAGCCGCGAAGTCTAATATGCGCCGCAAGGTGTTACTAGAGAATGCTATGCCCGAAACGGGCGTCAACACGGCGATGGCGGAGGCAGCGCTGTCGGCAGCTCGCCAGGACTTCATGCCTGACGCGGAGGTTCCCAACTACGAAACCTGTCTTAAGAGCCTCCGAACCCTCACAACGACCATACGAACGGCCTTCAAAACGAGGGCGTGCCGCGAAGTCCCAGTCCATTATGATCTTAACCGTCCGTTGGATGCAAATGCGGAGATCGCGCACAGGAAACAACGCGTACCGATACTCGTTGAGAATCACGCGTACTTGTTTTTGGTGAGTTTTCTTTTTGTATTCTTCTTCTAATGACTTATCCTTTTTTTTCTCTAGCACGAAACGAATGATCCGGACTCGCTGGCCCCAGTCAATCATCCTGGCGTACACGCCGTCATCGTTGCAGCTGTGTGGGAAACCGGCTTCCACACAGAGCTTGACATAGACGACGTGGACGCTCTCGACAATCTGATTTCACTCGGCGGCGCTGCAACACATTCAGTCCTCATGGAGCATCTCAACGGGAGACGTCAGACGGTGGAGTTTTCAGCATCTTCGTCATCTGGAGCAGAGTATCGTTTCATTCAACAACACAATCTCACCATTCGTAACGTTCCTGCAGTATATCACGCTTCCATTTCTTTAAAGAAAGATTTAGTTGAACGAGGTATATCTACTATCAGTACGGCTAGTATGTCTGATGATCTGTAGATATGTAGATAAGATTTGATTCCTTTGTGATAATCTTGCACTTTCATAAGATTCACTCAATATATATTGTTTTGGAAATATTTGGGTTGCTCGCTCGCGCAGAAACTTAAAAGACGCTAAGCGGTCGCCTAAAATCAAACACCGCTCATCGAGCACTCATCGAGCGCATCCGACTTTTAGATGTACCTCCAACACGAGCAAAGTTAGGAGAGCATGATGACAACACAGTACAATTGAGCGAGTTGAAATTTACTCTATTACGTAATAACGAGGCACGAGCGGAGGAAATTAAACAGAGTTACATTGATATTTTTGTGCAACTCTTGTAGGGTCACAATCATGGCCACTGCGCCATTGAGCTTGCTACCATTCTCATCGAGCTCGTATGTCTTCTCAGTCGCACTATCTCTCGAATATGCGTCGTCAACCTTCCATGTGTCCACACCAGAGCAACGCAAGCAGAAATAATGAAACTATCTGAGCAGGAAGGTCATGGTCAGTCGCATTGTGTCCGAGTCTACTTCTGCTGCACTGCATACTGTCCCGGCAATCCCTTTTCCAATACTCCTTTCTGATCCAGGCCAGTCAAGACACGATCTGCTGCAGCCGGATAATTATCTCCACCCGGACTTCGAAAAGACGCCCTCCCAGCGAACTTTGGACCACCTTACCCGACCCAACTCGACCACGTGCCGCCTGCCCCTCGCGTGATCCCTGTTCCTCTTGAACAACCGACCCCAGCATAATGCATGTATGATCACTACGTTTCAGACCTTGAAGCGCTATGTTCCAGATTCCCAGATACCAACTAATCTGCTATGCACAAAGACCGGAGGACTCGCGTCATCACCACCAGGTATTCTTCTTTCATCTTCAAGTATAGTTGGAGGGTTCGCTTATCTTGCAGGAGCAACCCACACTGAAGGAGAGAAAGACGGTGCTATATGCATGGCCTGGGCTAGGCGGACGCAGGATCAATTTACGAAGTAGGCGGTGTGCAGAGGGATGAGGGTTCTCTACAGTGCAAAATGTGTTTGTGCATGACCTCTTGATTTGCTTCGGTCTGATGCTGGTGAAACAGCTGTCGGCGAAATCTCCAAGTGAACCAAGTGTCGCTTCCGACTCGACCGAATCTGGTGTCCCCACATGCTTGAAGTCACCTCGAAGTCAGCCAATGAGGCACGTCGACAGTACACAACATTATCAACGATGATGTCAACATGAACGCGGTATGATTTGTCAGTGTCAAGCGTTGTGGCCCCCCAACATCACCTATATCAAGATACTATATCGGTTGTTAATAGATGGCTTTATACCAGCTGCAAAGTCTGTGCTGGAGCAGTGTGCGAGTCGGAAGAATATATTAATCGTGGGTAACGCAATACGTGAGGCATAATATCGGAAGTCTCTACTGATCTCATGTAGGTCGCAAGAATGTCACATTTCTGCCCATAACACCGGCCCCATCACTATGCCCATAGTCCATATCTATACAATAGAAATCGGTCAGCATGTTCCAAAGTGCGCATTAGATAACCTTACGACGTTCAATGCTTTAACAAAAAGCATCGGGTATTCGTAAATTGGCGGAGCATATTTACTTCCAGCTCTGGGATGGGTGAATAACACCCAGATGGAGTAAAGCGCTATAACGAGAGAACTTCGTGCCAGCAGTAACGGAGATTGAGTGATCCTAGGGATTCCGGAACCAGATGAGCGCAATCGTGACAAATTATCGATATATCACTGACCCAGCTGCTAATGACATGGGCATCTCGGAATACTCGGGCCCTTTCCCAAAGAACTTGAATGCTCCTTCCTGCATAATATCGAATGCCTCGCCTACAATCAATCGTAAGCCTTCAAGCATTCGACAGTTATTATTGGCGTACCGTCGGCTGCAAATAGGCCAGCCCAACTCATGCTCATGGTATTGATAGTGGATGCGAGTGGTTTTCTCAAGTGGTGCCACTTCCGGAGGATGGCTGATATTTCATCCCAGTTGCCAAAGTCCTCGATGTTGGCCAGGAGATCAGAAAGGATGACTGCGTCGTTCAAGGCGACCGTCATTCCACCCGCAGTTAGCGGGTGGCGCATGTTTAACGAATCTCCTAGTAGAAACGCGCCTGCCTTGCTAGATTCTCCCTGCTTCATCGCCGGAAGATAATGATGCGGGACTCGTCGCAAACGCGACGTTTCCAGAGCATTGAGAATGGGCGCGTGTACCGATAATGGAAGCTGAGGAACAACGTCGCGCAATATATGCTCCTGCAATATTGATAGTAAGTGGGGGCGATCGCGACCGCACAACAAGGCATAATTACAAACCTTGAGATCTGGCGGCGACTCCTTCATTTCGACCAGCATCCGATACTCGTTGTTGGGGAGCTCAAAAAGGATGACCGGTCCGGCGCCTTTCAGGACGATCATGGTAGCATACTTGGGCACCGGCAACTTCAGGTCTTTCACAATCAGACCTGCCAAGTAACCCTTTTGCGAAGGCTCATACGGCATGTTCCCGAGGACGGCATTTCTAAACTTGGATGAGGAACCATCCGCGAGAACGACGAGATCAGCATAATATGACTCTAGTTGGCCACCCGCTTTGGAGGCGCGAACACCTATTACGCGATGTGTGTCCTCGCTCTCGATAAGACCGGCTACTGTGGTCTCAATCACGTCAACATTGGGCGCGCGCCGTGCGCGGTCGCGCAAGGCCATGATGAATGCCCCATGGTCGAAAGCTCGCGCATCATGGCCTTGAGGAAATGAGGCGCAAACGCCATTCTCCTGTCGTAGAACGTAATAACCTGACAAAGAAACAGAGCCAACATCCGCAAGGCATGACTCCAGACCAAGCTGTCTGAGCGCAGTAACGCCGCCGGGCTGGAGCAATTCAGCGACAATACGGTCTGGCTTTGACAAGGACCGCTCGAGTAGAGCTATCCGCAAAGGAGTAGCACGCTTGTCATATGTCTTTGTGGCGAGGGCATGGGCAAGGGCCGGGCCTGCTACACCAGCACCAACGATGAGTACATCGTAAGAAGGGGAGAACGGCATGATGGGATGAAAGACTGACAGGCAATATTGCTCACCGGGTATTTATCAAAAACAGTCTTGCCTAGATCATTTCTCTTTGGGTAATAACCTGCACCATGATTCAACATATTCGTAGTATCGGATGACTTTTCCGCACAGGCTTGAAAATGTTGAATAGATTAGCATATCATAACTGGCCACATTAGGGAGACGTGCCGCGCGATGGCGCTGTTCATTTCCGAATGCATTGTGCTTGCCCCCGTCCCACTGTAATTTCTCAACCGCGCTATCTCTCTTTGCATCCGGATTCCGTACTGATACTGTCAGCTCGTGCCTTGCCTGTCTTCGCTTGTATATTATGATGCCATCATACGATCATACGGAACTAATCGGTGGCATTGCGTCTGGCATTGGTGCCACATTGGTTTTCTGCATCACAAGGGTCGCAGTGGTGTGTGACCGGTTAGCATTTCGGCTCTCTATGTTCCACTTTGGAGTCTTCACCACTGATGTAATTGATGCGCTCGCGGACTCGTGTTTTCCACCCTGATGGGAGCCGGAAAGCTAATAGCGCACTACACACTCGCGGTGGTTGAGGTCTTCGCCAGTGATGTAATGATATTCAGGAACCACCTTGTTAGAAGCCGACTTACTTCGGAACGGTAACAGGGCATACACAGCTCTTTCTAATTAAAACTTACTGATGCAGTGCCCTGTGACAGTTGCCTATGATTACCCTTTGGAAATACTTCGGCTCCAAAATCTTGACAAGAACAACTTCGTACGTACGTCCAGTGTAACGGTGATGACAACGCCTCGAACACCTCTTCAACTGCAAATGTGCCTCTGACCTATCCTAGTAGGAACAGTGGCAGCAAGAACCTTTGGCCATGAACAGGAACAACATTCTGGCCCTTACCGACGCCGATGTGAACGGCATCGACGATTCAAATCTGTACGAAAGCCGCCTAAAGCTTAAACCTCAATTGACTCGACCTGCGGCAACTCGGGTTGTTATTACCCATCTCTTTGCTCAGGTCTATCCAGAATACCTGCCATCCCCACTCATCGAACTCCTACTAAGACAAGTTTCATCAGTGCATACGCCGCACCAAACTCTACTCGTTCGTCACTTTCGCTGCCCTCGTCCTTCTCCGGCGCCTTTTGGTGCTCACGCTCTCGTATAATCCTTCTCCGCCAAAGTCCCTTGGACGTGTTGTCCGTTTTGGAACCTTTCGTTGAAGTTGGATGAGCTTCAAACGACATAGAGACATGCCTTCTTCATGATTTTACTTGGATATATCATTTTCTGATGTCTCCTTATCTTGTGTGTAGTCTTCCTTGAATGGCCCATCTGTTGTTTACTAAATTGAATACAGCTAAAATAGGCACTCCAACATTTTCGTAATGGCCGGGTGCAAGCAGGAGGTGGCGAGAGGTCACACTCAGGCGCGAATCAGCGTGAGCTTTTTTCAGGGGTAGAGGCAGCGCCAGGCTTCATAAGGTTGTACTTGCAATTAAGCCTAGTGCGAGAGGGCGGAGGGAGACTGCAGGTTCGGCATGGTGGGCAGTAGGCCGAGGGTAAGAAGGGTAACAGGCACCAGAGCCTACGACCCCTTGATGCCTTATTACCGTGTCAGACCTTGATTAATCTGATGCTCACTTGCAGCAACGTTCCATTAAACGCAATAAGCGTAATTCAGGCTTAGCACCAACCCCTGTCCCTCGTGAACTCCGATGTGATTAATGTGATGGTGCTCTGATAGAATGACGAGGACAACAAATATGTCTTTAGTTGGCAGACCACATGCACGAACGCCTATCATACTATTAATAAGCCTTGTTATTAGATGTCGGGTGCAGCTTTGTGGGGTCATGGGGTCGAAAGCTCGTGCGATCCTAATCAAACTAATTATATCGATGATATACAATATTAACGAACACTGAATTAACAGGCGAAAGGATCGAGGGTACCTGACGTTCGGCTGCGTATGTGTTGTTGTTAATATAATATACCAGGTAGGAGGTACTCCTTGATAGTCAAGCTTGGACTACACCAGCGCCTCCGAGCCGTCGGTCAGCGTTTTGACAAGTCAAACGCGGACTTGAAAGCAAGACCGCTGGCGCTTACCGTAGAGAGGGCCACGTACTTCATTTATCCATATTTATTGTCCTTTAAAGATCGCATAGTCAAAACGCCCTTTTCGCGAGAGGCTTACTCTTCACTATCTGGCCAAGCACTTGTCAGTCCATGCCAAGCCCACGTCACTAGTAATACAAGTGCCCACCTCAGCCTAATCGATCTCATCGGATCAGCCTCTCGAGAAGACCTGTCCATCACGACTATGGCCCATGCGGTTTTCTATAGCTTCTACGCCGACTGCAATCTCGTAGATGGACTTTGAAAAATTACCCAATAAATTGTTCCATATGAAGACCAAGCCTCAGCCGAATATCCCAATGATATCAGCAGCACGGAGCGCTGTTGAAATGAGATAGAGATAACAGTAATCGGCGAAGAAGAAGCTCCACTCATCGTGACGACGTTGACGTAGTTCATGGTATGTTCCGGATCTGCAGCAGACGTGTAACTAAAATAAAGAAGATAAGCAAACGTTAATCATATGAAATGGGCTATCCTGTACCAGGGAGTCATGCAGGATGTTGTGGGTCAAAAATATGTATCACCAGCCGGAGTGCACGTTGTATGTTGTGTGTACAGCTCCAGTAGATCGCTTGCTCGTGACAGTTGTCATTCACAGCCACACGACCAGTTGTACCATTTCGGGCGACAGGTTGGTCTAGACCTCATTTTAGAACATGACACTTCGTTCCTGCCAGTAAGACTGTAAAATCATTCCTATCGGATATGATATTCTCTTCAGATGAATTCAAATAGGTATCAAAAGGGAGCTTAACCGCGTCTCTTTCTGAGTCTTCGGGTCCGAAACGAAATGGAAGTAATTCCCTAAGAGTATAGTCTCCTTCTCAGTGTAGGAAGACGCAACCAGTAGGATAGGTATGTCCAAGAGACAAAATTCGTGAATTACTTGACGACAGATCCCACAAGGCACAATTGGCGAGGCAACGTTGTTAGAAGTTAATTAGTGTGAGGTTTGGAGCAAGGACAATAACGACATACGTTGTGACAGCGAGCGCTGCAAACTTGAGCTTGCCCTTCATTTTGATATATCAGTTGCGGATCAAGCTCAACGAACACCACCAGACTGAGATAAGGTGGACGCACCACCGCCTTTTTTGCGCTCTGTACAAATCGTACCATTTATGTATGGTAGCGAGATGGATGAATAACACTGAGAGCCAAGTAAAGGCTTGAAATTCACCGTACGAGGCATTCCCGATATTAGCATCTTTAATTATTTAGCCATCCTCAGGTGAAAAGATCAGCTCGCACATGGAATTTGAAATGAGGCTATCAAAATACTCATGAATTCATAGTGCTCGTTCCACTTTTAGGGCGATAGACTCGTACCTTTACCTGCAGCTTGGAGGAGGCGATCGCTGTCTGAAGCTACGATATCTGTCATGACTAGACTAATTCGTTGGTTGAGATGATTCAAACCAGAGTGTCACTAGCCGTCAACAAGTAGGTTGAGTGCATCTTGTAACTCGGGACCTGCTAGCATAGCCTAGCAAATTGATGGCATTAATGTGGAAGACGTCCGAGGTGTTCCAGAAACTAATTCATACCGACGATAATGCGGAAGAGTCATAGTGCCGACGGGGACTCGGACTGAGCCGTGGTAGTAACACGTTCTCGAAGTACTCAGACGTGGCCACGTTGATGCGCTGTCGGTGTGGTTCTTTTTCTAACCCATCCTGGCGTGTATCCATGCGGTATTACATCGAAGGCTCGTTTTCCTACGTGGAAGCTGGGGACTCTACATTCTATGGAAGAGGATGGATTCCCGCGAGGATCGTAGGATATAGTCAAGACTCGGATAAGCTGGATACGTCGCACATGCCCACGAGTCTGCGGACTCCGAAAGTAAGTCTTAATCGGCTCCGAGTCTTTACAATTACTACTCCTCCATCGATATCAGACGCGACGAGGACCACACTCCAGAACGCTTCAAAAATATGATTACTACCGGCCCCGCAAAAGGAACGTTCGCAAAACGCAAGAAGAAGCGGATTCTTGTAAATTCGACTTATGGGATTTCTCGACCATCTCTGACTTCCTGGTTCTCGATCCTGACCTACATTCATTCTTCCCACCAGCCCTTCGTTCGGGCAGGGGATACCTTCATGCGTACTGTCTTTGAGAGGATAAATAGAAACTCACTTAGACTATACGAGATGCCTTTGGGAGGTGTCAAAGCGGAGAAGAAAGATGGAGACATGAATTATCTATTCGAGGGCCGATTACGGTGACAAATACATAAGCGTGGTACCTTCAACGTGAGTCCGAGAGGAATCTAGCAATGGACTTCGATGCACCAGCTAATCATCTTGCTCCGTTCTCCCCAGTCATTGCCTCTCTTGAACCTAGCGCACTCTGAGACAAGCTCTTCCAGGATCGAGTGAAGGTGATCCTTGTACCGCTATCCATGCGATATCGTGTCATCAACGAAGTCCTTGACATGCTCGAGCAACTTTGTGAGAGAAGGTGCGTGCGTGCATGCATGCAACGGAACAACCGCTTACTTCGCAAGGAAGGAAAGACCACCTGGTTGCTGTGCTGGGTGACGAGCAACTGCACGCAGAGACTAAGATGTAGCAGGTCTTGCTGGCGGGAAAACCCCTCTGAAAATCGGGACTTGTGCTTGTGCTCCCGCTGCATACACGTGTCGTATTGGAGAGACGTGAGTGCTAGGTAGCTGAGAGCCTGGATTGGCAGTCATACTGCGGAATGCAGGGACTGGCGCTTGTGGTAGTACAGCGCTTAGTTCGTGGCGACAAGCTGGGGGCTGTTCCACGACCAGTTTGGTTTCTGGTGTGTTACCACCGATCACAAATACAAGAATGCAAACAGATCCTCTACTAGTGATATCTCGACGGAAGGAAAAATATCAATGTATTTCGCTCGCACCTCATCTGTCATCGTCGGCTTCCCGCGACTGCTAAAAATCAATCTCTCCAGGGGACACTTTGACCGCGCCAAAAATGCCTTCAGCTCCTCATCAGGGTATCGGACACTGCCAGAGCAGTAATTTTCAAGCACCCGCAAATTCGGGAGCGATAGAGCATTGAATAGCCCGGATAAATAGGATGAGGCGTCACAGCGAGCTAAGACGCGGAAGGTTTGGATTTTGGTGTGCGTAAATGAATCTAGGGTTTCGTTTGTGTCGAACTGTCCACAAAATTTGAACGAGGAGAGATTGGGACATAGCTGGAGTAGATGAATAACTGTACTCTGGTGCAGCAGTGTGGCGACATCGAGATTTGTCAGGTGTGACCCTGCGAGGCCGAAAGAAGTTTGTGTGGTGTTGAAATACCATTCAACGACCTTGAGACTGCGCAAAGTGGCCGGTAGTCGTGAGAGAGACTTTCCGATGGATGGACTGTGTCTATTCCTGTTTTCTTTCAGGGTTCGTATGGTCAGCTCCTGAAGTACTGGGAGGTCGTCCAACAAAAGTTCGGGTTCGACCACATCTTCGTGAAATATGATAGACAGAGACGAAATTTGATTGATGTAGGGCTGAAGAAGGCTTTGGAGCCTGGCCGCATCATCTGCCTCGCAGACGAGCGATAACGAGAGCGGATGTCCCCGCGACCGCTTGAGCCATACGTCATAGCGGGAGGCTTGTAATTCCTCAAGGTAGTAGTATCGCAAGTTGTCAAACCCCACAGATACATTACACCATAAACTGGGTGTGTTTACAGCAACCTCCCTCCATCGTCGGCATACTCCAGTTAATAGGACGGGAGCTTCTAACGCTGACGGGCGGTTTGATTCTGGGAAACAGTGGTCCGGGAGACAGTGGTGGAAAATCTGTGACAGGACTTCAGTTGGTAAGCACCAGAGACGCGATGTGAGTCCCTTGTGCAAAATCATTGAACGTCTAATCCTGTCCTTTTTTTTGAGCAGTTTCCGGTGAATGTTCTTGATACCATCCATCACAGATTGCAGGCCTGAAATCTCGTGCAAAACTGCATCTAGCTGTTGTTGGCGTTCAGAAATGATGGCGTGGATACTCTGGTCATTGTGGATGACAGACTGGTCGGTATTTGGAAACCTGGAACATGATGTTTCCAGGTCTGGAATCTAGGAATCATCAATGAAACGATATTCAGCACCAATGTCGCTATAGACATACGGTCACTTGTTCGGAACATGCGAGCTGAAGCGAACAAATATTATTAATGATGCAGATATGAGTACTATACAAATGGACACTTCGGGGGGCCCTTGACTCTGTACCACCACCATGGTCAGAACTCCCACGCTGAAAAACGCGGGCAAGGACGAGCCGTCGCAGCTCACAGAAAAAACTGGCCTTTTAAAAAACCCATAACATCAACAAAATAATATGTATATGTACGAACACCCTCCTCCTCATCACCCAAATAAAACAACCCAACAACAACAGAACAACTGACACACCCGAAACACACCCCACACGCAACACCTATCGACGAACTTTCAACCGAATCATCTTAGGATAACTGACTACCAACACCCGCCAAGAATACAAAGATAACGCCAACCACAACCAGACGTAAAGATACACCCCCGCACCATGCCCAGTGCTAACACACAACACCGCCTAAATTGCCCCCCTTGAGAAATCACAGCGACAATAAGTCTTATTAGACCACTGCCTCAATTGAAATTGAACTCATCCCGGCCACGATGCCCTCGCCGAACTAGTCAACCTCCTCAATCTCAGCCAGCTGCGCTAGAAACAGAAGTATAAAAACCTGCAGACCCCACTCACAATCCTCGTCCCAGCAGACATGAAAGACAAGGAACCCTCTTCTATTAAGGCAGTATCTCAAGCCTCCCGCCCCTACCCCACCACTCCTCGTCCTAATCCACAACCCCCTCGCTCGGGACCAAAATACTTTCCTCCTGAAGCTCTACAGGAAGACGTCGACTTAGAACAAGCTATGGACATGATACCGTATAAACCTGACCCACCCTCACCACCCTCCCCCCCAAGCCCACACTCCCCCCCTGACACACCCACCCCCACACCTCAGGGGAACCATGTGCACCCACTCCAACCCGACCTCCTCGTATACCAGGATTTTAAAGTAACAACGTCCCATGTCGACGATGACAAACCGCCGAGCAGTGACCTCGCTAACTCAATTCATGCGCCGAACAACTCCAAAGGTGATCACCAAATGAGCGCCCCGCCAAGCCCCAAAGCCAGACATGAACCCACCGCTGAGGAACAAGCCATCCTAGATCATCTAGCTCTGGCTGACGCGAACAGGTCTGTTCTCAGCCAGAACGGCCTGAATACTCGCACTACCCTACCCCAATTCACGCCGACTCCAAATGGGGGATTCCCAGTAGTACATATGTCCCACTCAGCTCAGATATTTGACCACCTCGATAACAGAGTCCTCCTCGCCTGGTTCCAAGTTGAACACCCGAAATTCCTAGTAAGGGTGTTCGACCACACAGGAAAAGACGTCGCAGAACGCGCTGCCATCCTCGCAGAGCGCATCCGCGCTAGCATTGCCACCATCGCAGAGTTCGTCCAACAAGACCCCCCGCAGGTACGCGTCTCCCCCCCACAACCCCAGGGCGGTAGAGAAGTGAAACTCCTCCCAACGGGCTTCCTGGTCCACAAAGTAACAGAAGAGACCAAAAACCTGATCCTAAGCCAACGCATCTGGTCCAACACGGACCTCACGTTCGAAGCTCTCCCATTCAACTGCAACCACCCCCCAGAACTCTTGTTCTGTCTATCCGGCTACACGACCTTAGACACCCAGACCATCCTTCAGACCGTCCGCGACACTTGGTCTTGTGAAGAAAACCACACCCGCATCGAAGGGTTCTTCTCCCATTGCGGCCTCCCAGCGGGAGTGCCCACCTACATGGTTACTCACGACTTCATCGAGTCCGCTCGTGTCGAACTCCTCGACTTCAAGATAACGGGGGGACTGTCCGTACCGCGCTTTAACGTCCTCGCCACCAGTCCAACAAATGACGCCAAGACCTGGACTAACCTGCGCAGCTTCCTAAGCGCCCTTAACTACCCAACCAGCCTCGATGGCTGTGGGACATCGACAGCCCTCTCCGCATGCCAAATATGCCACTCGCTAGCCCATCCAAGAGGATTATGTCCATTCCCACTCGTCACACTCTGGAACGGCCCCCGAGTGGGCAATAGGAACACGGGGAACGGACAACGTCAACCTGGGAAAACCAGAGGCGGAAATGGGAGATTCAATCGCACTGTCTGATACCTCGTACAATCACACTCTATGCCGAATTCCATTCCTTCCTACCTACAGCTAGATGTACTAAAACCTAACCCCCTCTCAGCCCATACGTGTCCCCATCTCACATACATAGCCTAGAAACACACCTCACCCTACGTACATCAATTTCAGTCCTTTCTAAACCGTACAAACCCCCCCCCCCCCCCCCCCCCCATCATATAATAAGCGCCACAACGGTTCTGTCTTAGGCCCGGCTCCGAAAGATCAAAAAAACCGCTGCGAACGTAAGACAGGTTTGAATGAGACACAAACCATCGAATTAAAGACACCTTGCCCAAATATACTGGTCGCGGAAGCGGGACAGGAAAGCAGGAGTCGTCTCAAAACAGCATGGTGCACACCAGACCACGGAAACCTATTTAGGTTCGGACGAGCCGTGCCGAGAGGCTTAAGTTTTCACTAGTAGATGATTCCAATGTCCTGGGCACTGATAATCATTGAAAACGCTAACATAGTCCACTGCTAATGGGCCAGACATGTCGATTCTAAGGCTACATAATGATCGTAACGTAGTCTTAGTAGTACGATCACCCCAAACACTCACATAAACTCCCCAAATCACGGTCGTTTTGTCGGTAACGGTGCAGGCATCCCAAGTAGCGGAGGAGGACCTCCTCGAACCACTGGGAGACCCTCCGATGACCGCTCTCGGGATTTCGGAAGTGGACATGCCAATCAAAGGCACACCCAACCCCAACATCAACCCCAGCCTCAAATGAGGGACCCACCAACACAAAGTATGGCCACACACGCCCTCCGAAACCAGACACAGGAACCTATCAGACACCCCAACCAACACCAACCAACGCGCCAAGTCATCACAACCTCCAACGAACACAAAAAAACCAGAGCGAACATCAAAATAGCCACTCTCAATATGAAAGGACGGACCTCGACAAATCTCGCGCAAAACCAAACATCTAAATGGACAAATGTAAATCAAACTGTGAGAGACGAAAAGATTGGCATATTGTGCCTTCAAGAGACGCACCTGACTACAGACCACAAAAATCAAATTGACAATCTATTCTCCCGGCGCCTGCGAGTCCTAAGCACGAGCGACCCAACCAGACCAGGAAACTCTGCAGGAATTGCATTCGTTCTAAATAAAGAAATATTAAATACCGCAGACGCCAAAATGAAAATCCTGGTACCAGGACGAGCAGCAGTCTTATCTGTGAAATGGCACAAAAATGAGACAATCAACATTCTAAACATATACGCACCGAATAACATGAACGAACACCGAAGCTTCTGGGAGAAAATAAGTTCAGAATGGACAGCGGCACACGCGGGCGACATTGACTTCATGATGGGTGATTTTAATATCACCGAAGAACCGATTGACCGCGCCCCCGCAAGGCACGATCACGAATCAGCCACCGAAGCTCTAAGAGACCTAAGATCAACGCTCAACCTACAAGACACCTGGCGCCTCGAAAACCCAAACACACGCACCTTCACATTCAGTAGTAACCGCAATACATTATCGCGCCTAGACAGAATCTACACCTCAACACGCCACTTAAACAGCATGACAGATTGGAACTCACAAATCAGCCACATCCCGACGGATCACCACATGGTGTTGACAAGGTTCGCACCACCCGGACTACCACACATAGGGAGAGGAAGATGGTCATGGCCAATAGGAATAATGAAAGATGAAAGCCTAATTAAACAAATTATAAAACTAGGGATTAATAAGCAACAACAAATGGAAGAGATAAACGTACGAGACGGCACCACCAACCCGCAAAAGTTATGGATTACTTTTAAAAAAGAAATAACCGACTTAGCAAAAGAAATGTTGAAAATACACCTAGGAAGAGTCAACCAACGAATACGAGCATTAACGAAAGACCTACGCAAGACAACGAACCTAAAAGACATAGACTTCTCTGAAAACACTAGAATAAATCGCATTATCATCGAAAAAGAAATAGAACACTTACAAAAGAAGAAAAACAAAAAAGCCCAACTAAAAGCACAATCACAATGGGCGTCACAAGGCGAAAAGATAAGCAAATACTGGTCAAAAATAAACAGTCAGAAAAAGCCAAGAGACATTATATATCGACTACACATACCAGAAACCAACAACTTCACCACAAAGTCAGAAGAAATGGCAGAAATAGCAAAAACATACCATGAAAAACTACAAACAGCCGACAATCACCAACACCACGACCAAGCTCGACAAAATGCGAGAAAAGTATCACTAGAAGAGATACCAGCAAATCAGAAAATCGAAGCACAAACAAGCCAAATGAACGAACTCTTACAAGAAGAGCACATTCTAAACGCGCTGATGTCATCGAAATCGGGAAGCGCCACCGGGATAGACGGTATCCCATACGAACTATGGAAACATATCCACGAAACATACACAGAAGCAAGTAAGAAAGAGCAACCAGGTCTGAATATAATCAAGATGCTTACCATCGTCATGAACGATATCCAACTCTACGGAGTCAACCAGGATTCGGACTTCACCCTAGGATGGATGTGCCCGTTATATAAAAAAAAGGACCGCACAAAAATAGAGAATTACCGACCCATAACACTCCTAAACACAGACTATAAAATACTCACCAAAGCTCTCGCTATACAACTAACGAAAAACATACACCAACTAATCCACCCGAATCAGAGCGGATTCGTGAAAGGACGGTCCATTTTTGACCCGATTCGTTTAGCCCAAACAATGACCGCATATGCGGACCTAATGGAAGAAAATGGTGCGATCATAGCCCTAGATCAAGAAAAAGCATACGACAAAATTCAACACTCTTACCTGTTCGAAACATTAGAAGCCTTTAACCTCCCACCGATGTTTATAAATACTGTTAAAACACTATATCAGTCAGCATATACACGAGTAGCAATAAATGGCTTTTTGAGCTCACCATTCCAAGTAACACGCGGTGTGAGACAAGGCGACCCATTATCCTGCCTTCTATTCGA